ATTAAAGCTATAGTCCATCATTTGTAGCTATCCGAAAAGTAACTGGCGTAATTATTGTTGAAAAACATTATTGGTTGAAAGATAGTTAGGGGAATAAACTCCCTGTGAAATTATTCTTTCTGGCAAGCTGTCATTTTGAAGAAATCAACAAAAGAAGGCCTTTCCAACGGTGCTTCTTAAGACACACCGTAGGAAATTTAAATTAGTTGTTCGTTTCGTTATTCGGGGAAGCGCGCGCAAGCGTTGACACGACGCACACGCGCGCTCGGTTGCTATTATTCGTCGGAGCAGTGCGCGACGCGGCCTAGCTGCAATCGGCTCAGTGAGAACATGTCTCGGACGCTGAATTCAGGCCCAATTCAAAACATGATGCAGCAACTTTTGATTTGAAATCGAGATCCTAGAATGTTGTTTTTCTCGAATTAGACAGCTGAAGCTGAGCTGAAACTTCATCAGGTTAGTTGTTCAGTCCCCTTCTTTAGATTTTGAGCACTTTAATGTTGCTTCAAATGAACAAAATGCACAAATTACAAATGATGGACTATATCTTTAAACAAAAGAATATACCAAAATGACTGGGTTGAGAATAAAATTAAATCCACCATGACGACTACAAGTAAACAAAAATTAAAAGGAGGCAAAGTGCAGGTTTTAGTATTTCACTTTGACACAATAAAAACACACGCATGCTGCCAAAATACCCTACAAATGGAATTCTGTCAAAACAATGGCAGGAACTGGACATCAACATCCATTAACCTGTCATCCGCATGTCAGCCCTAAAGGCCTACCGGTACACGCAACACTCTTAAGAACTCATGGTGATTTTTACACAAAAATTTGCTAGGGCTGTGGCCAAAAAACATTTAATAAATAAATAAATTGAATAATTATCCAATTATCCACAGAATATCTGAACAGCACTTAACACATCAGAATATTTTTTAAAAATGTGAGAGGTCTCAAAGTCAAAAAGATCACCCAAAAAAAAAGATCTGTGATGTAAATTTACTCATTATAAGTTGCTTTGTTTTACAAAAAAATGTATAGCCCAAATTTCCATCTTTAAAATCTGAAAAATATCGGCTAGTCAACTCGAATTGATACATGTACACATGACATTCATAAAATTAAAAGGTTTTACCTTGATGCCAATGTTTCGATATTTTGAATACTTGACCAAATTCCAAATCCAAGTAATAAATTATTCAAAAATGCATGTTGAGCAGAAAATAAAGTCGAGCAAATATATTTTGAATTTCTTGTCCAGAGCACAAAATGATTAAATGAAAATCACATCACTTCAAAGCTACTAACCTTTTTTTGTGCTAGAAAAATCTTGAGAGGTCAATAAATGTGTGGTCTCGCAGCTCTGTGAATATGACCCCTATCCTGCGTAGATCAACAAGCTGTATGTACTTAGTATCTCGCCATCATCACTCTAATTCAGAGGGGGAACAGAACAGGGGAAACGGAGAACATCTCATATCCTCTAAGCTGAAAGTGCAGGAAGTCTAGATGTAAAACCTCTTTCGGTTCTTTTTGGCCCTGCATGTTCACAGGTCGCTGCAGAAAAATACTGTGCTTCGCTTAAAGGGGGGAGTGTGTGATGTGTGTCAGGTCTGTTGTTCCAACGGGCTTTCAAAACTGCCCCAATTTAAATGGGGAAATCGATCTAAACTGTTTACCCGACTTGTATGGGAGAGGCTCATAGTTTTCTGCGAGTGAAATTTTATGAAAATGTGGAACGAAGATTTTGACCAGGCACGTTGGACTAAAAAAAAATGATCTGTGACCTTTGAACTTCTGGTGACTTACCCTTTAGGGTTTATCTGTGGATATTCTACAAGAAAATGATGCTTCATTCAGTTCACGTACACTGTACTAAACTGTATCTGGTGTTATTTACCAGTAAAAAATAAAGCAAATTACTCCCCACTTTGAATGATTCTGTGTCTACAGGACAATAGAATTGTAAATCAAAACCGAGTTATTATTGTTCCCCAGGGTAAAATTCATATTATGACCAGACTTCCGCTTAAAATACAAATGTAACTAAATTTAACATGGCCTAGAGATGCTACTTGCTCTATAAACAAATCAGCAGGTACATGTAGTTACTGAAAGAAAAGGACATGACTCAACAAAAGTAAATTAGGCAATTTCAAAGCCAAGGGCAATGATGAAATTTAATTCACAATCCAAAACTGTCTGAATTGAAAGGGGGGGGGAGTTTTGGTATAATTGAATTTCAGTATACTGACACATTGCCATTGGGAACATCCACAGAAATCAGACAAGGAACATGACCAAGTTTAATTCATTTATCTAAAAAATATCTGTCTATGTACAGGTACGGTACATTTAATATCCTATGCCTGGCCTGCACATGTGAATCGTTTGCTCAATTTAATAAGATTTTATCAAGATTGACAATCTGCCAATGTTGAGTCATCAGTTTTCAGGGCCTCGATTTGAGAAGTCCGTGAGAAAAATGCATAAAAAAGTAATAATTTTTTTCAAGAGCTGTCAAACACCTTGCTGCACTGCATCAGTGCCGTCGAAACAGTAACCCACTTTCAATCCGAACACAAGTCGTATAAACCGCAGCGAGCGATTATTATTCAAGAGACCGAAATTGAAATTGAAGACCATCTGCAATGCTGACTATGCGAGTAATTAAACTCGAGTCCTCGGGCAAACCCGCCAATTTCTGGTCTTCTTCCTGGTAACGCGTAAACGCAACCCTTACATCACAGGCAAAAACAAAGCAGTCAATCATACCCCCGCGCATACACATTCGTCATTTTACAAAAAGCCAGCGCCACGAATGTGAGCTTCGTTGATGAAAATGAAGTTGACATTTAGGGGGGGGGGGGGGGGAGAGAGGAAACGCCAGGATTTGTTTGGGACGTCCCACGCACCGAGAGAGAAGAAGAAGACAAAAGACGTCGAAGGAAATGAGCGAAATGAAGAACCCCTGGGTAATGTTTGCGTAGCAATTAAACTCTCTTGTGAAGATCCACTTCACAATGATGTCGCTCTGATCCAAACCAGAATAACATGCACTGTCTTGTTAATTTTTAGGTCACGTTCGGTAATAACAGCATTACAAAATAATGAATAACAACCTTCGTGGAAGAGGAATTAATATCAAATTACATGGTTACGATATCTAAAAAAAAGAAAAGTATTTTGTGGGCCTATGACATATTGACAAGATTTTAATGTCAACACACAATACAGCATATCTTTATCCGTATTTTTATTTACATTGAATTACGAGTTCCCCTTCCCCAGTAATACAATTACCATACATGGAACTATCATAGCATTTGTATACTATATGGCAAAACTTAGAAAGCATTAATGGTTATAAGGAAAAATCCAAGCATGATGTGGGACAATTATATCCGCAAGATCCGTTGCCATGCCAACCGTGCTGACTCACCCTCAGCATCCTTTTTCTTGATATTCCGAGTCATTTCAAGCTTGTTTAGAGAAGTATGGATTTACTGCACGGCCAGACAAATGCAACGCCCATTTGTATCTTTTATGTGCCACAACGGGAGGTCCCCAAGTCCATTCCCAATGGCATCGCAAGCGTGCGCGAAAGACAAAAATTGGGTGGAACGCTAATAAAATAAAAACAAGTTTCTATCTGGCCTTCATCTTGTTTTCCTGTTCTGAGTAATAAGCTACTATGATACAACAATCAAAACAAAATTCAACGCTTAAAAACAATACAACAGAATTAGGCCTATTATCATACAATGAACAAATGATTCATTTCTGGCTTTGTCAGACCAATGACATCAAAATATAGGGAAACTATTACATTAAATTTAAATTAAAAATGGCAAATACTTGGATCTGTTTTATATTAATGCAAAATGCCTTCCCCGACACAGGCATGCAACTGGGAATAAAAAAAAAAATGAGGAAATATTTAACCACACAAAATCTTTGCAGTGTTTTTCAATTTGTAATGGCATTCATGAGAATCAAAAAACAAAGGAAATTGGCAGATCCGAGGAAAAATGTTGCAAGCCTGCCATCATCTTCAATTTGTAGTTTTAAATAAGAATGAAAAAAAAAATGGATTGATTCACTTTTGTAACCAATGTTACAACTTCTTTGATTAACTATTTTTATGCATTTTTCGTTTTTAATAAATTATTTATTAAAAAATAAAAGAATATCCCAACATGACTAGGCACTCTGACAACAGAGTTATTTATGTGGTCAACTTGTTCAACATGATTTAATTTCCTCTGTATCAAACTATCAACAAGAAAATAATTGAAGCTGCCAAGTAAGGTGGTACCTGGTACCACAACGATGGGGGAAAAAATCTCATCAATAGTTCATTTAGTGTGATGGCTCAACCTTTTGTGAACGCATCCTGCTCGTCAACTGGAAAATGCTTAAAAGCTAGTGTGCCACAAATTTCCAAGCCCACGCACATACACAAAAAGCATCTTGATTAGAATCGAAGCCCATAGGATTTAATGGCAGCTGCCGATACAGTCAAGGACTTCTAGGAAAGCGGTATTAGGCTTTACAGCTAGGCTCCATAATGCACAACACAGGAAGCTAGATACAACTACAAATTTACGCTGCGGCCTTTGTCCGGACCTGTACCCACGAAGCACCGGGCAATGTTCCCTGAATAATTACGCGCTGAACCTTTATTGACAGTCTGGTCCATTAGGCTAGTGGCCTTGGCCCCCAGTCTTTTTAATTTCGCAAAATAAATGGATTTTTCCTTGCCTCGCATGAAATTTTCATGAACCCATGGGAGGCTAGGCAAACACACACTGGTTGATGCCAGGGACGGAATTTCGAGTGGTGCAGGAAGGGCGCCATGTAAGCAACCGTGGAGTGACGATTTCTCCGTCCTTTCTCTGTCCCTTCTCTGCAGCGGAAAGAATATTTATGAGGGCCACAAACGGAGCGAAATTACCAAGATTATCTGTGATTTTCCAAAGTTCACATACCTGTATTTCCAATTTAGATGTGTGTGACTTTTCAGTGACTTGCCGGTGGTAATCCTTTCCGTTTTTCTCGCAGGTGTATTATCTTTTTCCTGTAACATGTAAATATAAATCTTTTGAGTTAACAAAATCCAACAAAGAGAGCGCCAACAATTTGTATTCGCAAGTAAAAATATGTCAACAGCTTAAAATAAAGATAAATCTGAATCTTATCAACACCAATTCAACATCAGGAATGAGTCCTCAGTAGCTCATATTATTATAGAAATTTGATTATTGCCATTAATCAAAATGTATGCAACTGCATGTCGGGAGAACATTCCTGAAATTGTTCGCTAAATATTGATAACACATGTGTCAGCGTGACAGCATTTTGGATTTTTTTTTTGTATCTTATCGTTGATGCAAGTTAATGACAAACCAGGATCTGGCGACTTTCTTCTTAAGTGTAATAACTAATGTATTAAAATTAAATGTTAGCCTCTGAAGAAGAACTTGTGAAGTTTGCGACGTCGGGCCGCATTAATTTTTTAGATTTGCATATTTCAGGTCAAGCCAGTCAGTGAGCAGTTTGCAGCAGTCCAATTCATTTTCATATTAATACGGGAGAAAGTACAATATAGAGAAATGGTGTTTATTACTGCTGTGATCTACTAAATAGGTACCGGTACTTGTTAGGTTGCTGGTTGTATTATTAAAGTATTATGACCAATATTTTTGTTCTAAAAAACTTCATGTACTTTTGCTTCTGTTTCTGCTCAATACTGTGCAATCACCTCTATTTGGCGGTTATCACGTACATGTACATGTATGTACGTGTACTACTGTACTACTCATTGTGTTGACGCTTGACTTAATATTCAGAACACTACAATAAAATTATCCATGGATACCTGTACACGTACAATGTGCACTACATTTTATTTGACAGTATCAAAATTAATGGAGCAGCAAGCACATTTTTATTGCTCATCGCTAGATGGAGTGATTGTTGGATTTTGGCAGACTTGGTCCACTACTTAATAAAAGACAGTAGGGAGTAGTTAAAACTGTGAAAAAAACAAAAATCTGAAAAAGGATTACATGTGAATGAACTGCATTTTTTCATGGTCTTTGTCCTTGTTTTCATTGAAAATGTACCGTACATGTCACTCGGTGTTTTCTTTATTATTAGCCTTGCTCAGGTGTTTTCGACTCACTGGACAGGCTTCAAAATCCCTGGACAGGCTTCAAAATCCCTGGACAGCCTTCTACCCAGCGGTCGATTTCACGAAACTGTTCTTAACTTACGATGCATCGCAGGGTTTACGAGCCATCGCAGCTCTACGAAGCATCGTAGCTACGACGAACTGCTTTTGCAATTTCACGAAACACATCGTAAGAACGATGCATCGCAAGCAATGTTTTATATAAAATAAAGTTTGTGAACGAGGATGACCTTAATGCATACGACTCTTTTATGTGAAAAACAGTCTACAACAATGCAACAGCCGTCTGTAGCGCGCGAAACCAAGAGACGCGCACGCAGTCGCGCTGAAGATGGCCGACAATGTCGTCTGCTATTAAATATACGAAGACCGTCCACGTTGCTAAGGAATTTTGGTAAGTTATTCATTTGATTAATTAAAGTAGGCCTACTGAGTGCTATTTACAGCGATAAACTTTGTTGTCCTAGTCAAAGAGTATCCAGTGTAAAGACTGCACTGCATCCAAACTTCTGTCAGTCGGTTGTCTGCACATTCAGTACGTATTCCGGTTGGGGTTAAATTTGACAAAACATGTTTGAAGTTAAATGAGAAGATTTTAACTTATTTTATTATTAGCGATAGTTAAAGCGATTTAGGCTAAAGCCCCAGCGGTCGATTTCACCAAAATCAAAACGAACTTACGAAGGGACATACTTCACAGAACCACCACTTTTCTCTATAAAGTAGTCACAGCACAGGCAGAATTTCGACCATATTATTATTAATTATTGAGTCAAGACTCAAAGTCAAACTTAGTTTGACTGAGTGATAAAAAACCTGATATTTTCCCAGGTTACATTAGGCTTCAGCCCTATGCTGGCTAATGTAAAATAGGCCTCTAACTACTCCCAGCCATCGTCACCAGGGCTTCATTCTGAAAACAAGAAACTTGTATTAAATTTAAAAAAAACATGTCCATAAAATTGGGAGGGGGGGGGGGGTTACAATATTCACCTCAGAATTATGATTAAAATATTTAAAAATAAATAGAGTCCACAAACACAAGGGCCAAGTAGTTTTACATAAAAATTGAAATGTAAAACAAAACAAAAATTCAAAACATGAAAAATGGAATAATATAAATCTGTTAATGTTTAAACAAAATTGTGTTTGCAATGGTTGGGGCGTGTGCAACCGTCTGTCAGCATTTGGATTGTTGTCATTCACAAACTTACATTAAATAGGCCTAGTCATGTCTAAGACTAAAGTTCCTCCTGAGCGAGCCGCGAACTGGTCTCATGAGGAGGTCAAAATTCTGGCCGAGTTCGTTAAGAGCCATACAGCCAAATTGTTTGGCACACGCTGCAAGGCTACAGCTGAGGTAGATAAAGTGAAGAAAGATCATTGGAAGATGGCGGCAGATGAGCTGAATGAGTGTGGGGGCCAACTAAGGGACTGGACCAAAGTACGTAAAAAATGGCAAGATATCTCAAGCCAGGCGAGGAGCTACCATCGGGAGTTCAACAAAACAGGTAATGAAATTCATTCAACTAACTTTTTGATTCAATATTAGGTTTTGCCCTTCACTCTGATGCTAACAAACATTTTCAACATTTTCAACAATAACAAAACTCGAGTTTTTTCAACTCTGTTCAAGTATATTGCATGAATGCATTTAACAAGATTACAAGATTATTTGAAGTCTTCAATTCGAATAACAATAACAATGCTCTCTCGCTTATTTTCAGGAGGGGGTCCTAAACCACCAGTAAACTCGACATACGAGCTTGTCCTCGATGCCCTGCTACCGGTGGGCAAAGATGGCATCGTGGAAAAATACGAAGGCGAAACAATGCCAGACTTGGAATTTCTGCTAGGCAGTGTTGAAAAAGGTAGGATATTTAAAGCCTTTGAAAACAACTGAGAAAACACTTCAGACAAAAACCTGATTCAAAATACTTATATTCTTTTCTTACATATTTTGAGTATTTATTTCCACTCAATTCATGAACTATGGTGTTTATTGGATAGTTATATTGAATTGTTCTCTTCATGACATGCAAGTCTGAGACACAGCTGATTTCAAGAATAGTGTTATTCTTTGTTTAAGTCAATAAGACATGTTGACGATTTTTGAACTAAATGATTTAAAGACTATTTGTAATACATGTGTCTATCAAATTCATTGTTAGGAAGGGGAAATGCGAATTGTAAAAACAAACAAACTGACGATGATATAATTGTACTCATTTGCTACAGCTATCACATGCAGTGACACCATCGACACTGATGTAGATATGGAGGAGGTGGAGGAGGTGGAGCCCGTACAGGTAGAGCCAGAGGAGGTTGAGAAGGAAATAGAGAGAGAAAAGGGCGAGTGCAGCACTGCAAGTTCAAGACCACCAGTACAAAAGAAGAAGATAGCAAGAGATCAGAGCATACTCCAAATCGAGAGGGAAAGGTTGCAGATCGACAAAGAAAAATTGAAAATAGCTCGGCAACAACTGGAAGCTTCACAAGCCATGACGGAATCCTTGAAGGAAATTAGCCATTCCTTTCAAATACTAGTGGCATTTACACTGGAGAAGCACGGTGCAGTAATCGTATCTGAGTCCTAAAATTGTTTTTTTTTTTCATCTAATAAGGATAAACTTGAGGTAACAACATTCGGCAAAATATATGTAATTAGTGATGGCTCTGAGAAGAGCATGTTTGTACTCGATGTTTAGTCATGTATAGTCTGGTTGCAATATCGGGTACAAATGGGCTCATGTCAGAGCTCCACTACTCCTACAAATTTATGCCGAATGGTGCTACAAAAAGTTTGTTCTCATTAGCTATTTCCACTGTGCCTAATTTTAAGTTCAACATTTTACTTATTTGCAAGTTGTTTAAAAGTATTAAATCATTATGAATTTCTCTTTGTTTCTTTCTTTAAACCTTTAAACAGACATGTAAATACAATGTAGAACTATTTTAAAGCATATCTTTTAAAGCATTCCTGAAGAAAATATCACATCGATTGGCATAGAGGAAAGTTCATAATTGTATTTTGTTAAAAAAATCAAGATACAACACAACTGATAATTTCATCTGTCGAAAAAAAAGTGAAAGTTTGCATATTTTTTAAATTCCTCAAATGACCTCTAGATCACTTATGACCTCCATTTTCTAAAGAGGTGTCATACACCCCTACCCAAGGATCACTCCATCCAAGTAACATTAAAATATATCATATTATGTAGACAAAGAAACAGTAGGGTATTTAAACAATTACCTCTGATGACCCCTACATGACCTTTGACCTCAACAATCCAAAGAATTGTCTTTCTACCCAACTTGGGTCACTGCATCTAAGTTTCACCAAAATCCATGAAAGCATGTAAAGGTTATCTACAGTCGAATCTCGTTAGTACAAACTCTGTTAATACAAAATTCTGGTTATAACAAACATAAAGCCTTAGTCCTGACTGTACATTTATGTGCACAATGAATGGGACTGATGTTCCTCTTTCAAATTTGGCTAGGTCCGATGGAGTTTGTATTAACGAGACTCGACTGTATATATTTTTTTAACTCAACCTTAACTTTAACATACATATAAAAAAAATATTGCAAATTCTAAGTTACTCACACTGTTCCAGGGGATATCACCGATTCTGGGCCTTTTTTGTTTGTTTGGAAAAGTAGTTATCAAAGACAAAAAAAAAAAAACGAAGTGCAAGAAACCTGCTTCATCTCATGCACACTAGATAATATTTTTTCAAGATATATTATTCAAGAGGATGCTTAAAATCTTAGTTTGAAGAGAGTAAAAAGTGTGAATAAAGAGTACTCCTGCGTTTTTATTTATATTGTACATTTGGAAGAGAGCCATACATTATTGAACTGTATGTTTTTATTCAAAGAAGCACAATAAATAGTTACTGTGAACTAATTTCCAATTGTTTGTTAAATAGTTGTGTGTCTTTACATGTCACCAAAATTGGAGGGGGGGGGGGTAACGATAACCTGTTCTTTTTGCCCATGCTGATTTTCTTGCTCTTACTTGCCCATCCTATTTGCATCCAATAAAAACAGATTACAGAAAATGAAGAAGAAACTGCTGCAAACTGCTCACTGACTAGATTGACCTGAAATATACATAAATAAAAAAAAAAGAGTTGGCTGATATGATAATGGGAGATTTTGAGACGTTGGTGGCAGCAAACACACCGGTCCTTCTCAATTGTTTACGTCATGTTTAAGCTAAAGCGCGCGTGCTCAATATGACGCAAACAATGAAAAAAGGACCTGTGTGTTTGCTGCCACCATTGTCTCAAAAGTCTCCCACTCATCCTGAGTAAGGACAATTTCAGAGGCAAGAAATCACATAATGCAAAATCCTTTGCCTCTGAAAAAGTCCTTGTTCAGGATGAAATATGAGGCCACTCTAATTTTTATAACATTTCAACATCTGTTGAATTAACTATGAAACTTTACAATACATCAATTTAGTTAAAATACTGACGAATAATACGCTCCCTATGTGCTTGACCATCATGGAGTACTCCAACATATGGCAGAGCCCCAACCTCCTCAACTTCTACTTCCTCCTCAAAATCAGGCTCACCCATGATCTTGGCTAGATTGTGCAGAATGCAGCAAGCCTTGATGATTTGACATGCTCTACTGGGTGATACCCTGAGACCAAGTGCCAGGCATGGAAATTTCCGCTTTAGTTGACCGAACGTTTGCTCCACCTTGACCCTTGTTCTTCTGTGACACCTTTAATTGGGAAAAATAAACAAATATGGCATGAGTCAAAGTCAATCGGAGATATAACAAGTATGAATTACACCTTCTATACAATATTCAACCTTTAAATTACTCAGTGGCCTAGCCAGAGGGGTGAGGGAGTCTCATTCTGAGAACTCTGCCCCCCCCCCCCCCCCCCAATGAGAGTGAAAAAATGCACACAAATATACATGTACATGTATAGTTCAGCACATCAAAAGCTCCCGCCCCTATTTAAAAAAAACTGTGGACAAATAGTGTGAATCACATTACCTGTTATAATTTCTTTCAGCGTCTGTTATGGGGTTCTCAATTGGTGTCATCAGCCACGGTCTGAGGGCATATGCTGAATCACCTATGAGCATACCTTGCAGCCTGAAAATGAAGATTCGGTTAACAATTTTATGTTGTTCACGTCAAACATGATTTTAATTAGATTCTATTAACTCAGCCAGCTTCCTTGAGTCATTGATTCTAATATAAGATTTTAGGCTTTGCATGGTGCAGTATAAGTATTGTTTTGGTTTGCGGTAACACCATGTGGTAATAACTACTAATCAGAATATATAGATATTTAGTTCTGAAAAGAACTTGTCCTGCTTATAATCAACTTTCGCTAAGTAGTTTTAGTTCTGATAAGAACAGTCCTGCTTTAAGTTCTAAGACCAAAGACAAGTTCTTTTAGAACTTAAAGCGGGACTGTTCTTATCAGAACTAAAACTACTTAGGACTACTGAATACTGTTCACACAAGCTATCACATTGTGTAATTCTGCATACACATCTTGTCTGGCTTTAAAATCAAGAAGTGAACTAAATATCTTGCAACAGCAAAGAAGAAGCCATCCTTTGTTAGTGTTTGTGCTCATGCTTGTGCGATTCAATCAAATTTGATTGGCTAAATGTTCAATTTTTTCCCAATTATCAGATAATTGACTGACCTGCCATCACTAAACATGTCACCAATGACACTGCCGTGGATAATGGCACTGTCGTGTGTACTGCCTGGCCACCTGGCGACAACATTTGTGATCAGGTAGTTAGCATCACAGATGACTTGAATGTTGATGCTGTGCCAGCCTTTCCGGTTAACATATAGGTGCTCGTCATCCATTAGAGGGGCACCATACAAACGGATGTGACTCCCATCAACAGCTCCAACAACTTGAGGAAAGCCGGCGATGGCAAAGAAGTCGCGTTGGGCTCTGTTCACATCTTGTTGGCGCACAGGAAACTTGATGACTCTGTTGGCTTCTCTATTGATGGCTCTACAGACTCGATGGATTATCCTGCTCACTGATGGTGCACTCATGTCATGAAGGTCTCCGTGCATGGTGTAAAAGGAGCCAGTGGCAAAAAATCTAAGGGCCGTCAAAAGCTGCATCTGCGCTGAGATTGCATTGCTACGCTGTGACAATAGAAAATCAAATTTGCAAGTGAATATTTGATTATTATTACATTATCTAACACACACTTTAAGCGTGAAACGTTTTTAAATACATCTTTAAAAAGGCTTCAATTTAAAGTCGTGTGTCCTAGTTAAAAAGTGCTATTGTAACACAGTTTCCATTAACAGTGGTCATCCCGCCTCCCCAGTCATTATCACGCAGTGAAGACTGGGGCCTCACACTGTTATCCCCTAATTACAACTTTCTTTCATAAATCAAAACCCTGCCCTCTTTCCACAAATAGACCTGAGACCTAATGACATAATGACTTTGTTTACATATGGGCTTTACTAATCCTATGAAAGCAAAGTCAGGACGCCAGACAAAGTAGGGACCATCTACCACGGGAAAGCCCACATATAAACAAAGTGTGACGTCATTAGGTCTCATGAGGCCTATAGTACTAACATAGGCCTAACTGATTTCTTAGCGATCTATATTTGAAACGATTCAAACATATAAAGTGACCTTTCCTGCTTGTATCATAGCCAAAATAACTAACCGTAAACTGCTTAGGAAATAATTTCTGCCACCCAAAAATGATGAAAATTACCGCAAAAAAAGTGTCATTAGAATTGAGAGAAGTCTGCTACAAAAGGAAATGTTTGAGTAATAAAAAGACACCCTTGAGTATTATTTGATTGAAAATAAACAGGGGCCCTCCATTAGTAGATGCGATGAAACCAATAAAGTAAAACCCTCCTTTCAATATCCCTTCCGCCATGTCTGCTCCAAAAACAACATGCCGTGCCAAGCCTAGCTTAGCCCCATACATATGGCCAATTTACTGGACTACCTCCGTAAATAAAGGCCACGCCTTCCACCATGTACAAAAACATGTCAAACTTTGTCAAATTTTGATTTTCACATTTAGGCTTAGTTTGTAGTTTATTTTTGCTTTAGAAACATACTCGCCCTCTTTATATTATAATCAGAAAGTGCTGCCTTTTTCAGATATCTATTTTATGTGAAATTTCCAGATTTGTTTGCACACGTTTTCGTATCAAAATTTGAACATGAAATTTCACGAAAATTAGAGTTTAGACATCTGAAAAAGGCAGCACTTTCTGATTAGCCTATATCGAGGTAGTTGCGATAATCGTAACCCACCATCCTCCCGACGGTCGGGAGGATGGTGAGTTACGATCCTCCCGACCGCGGTCGGGAGGATGGTGGGTTACGATTATCGCAACTAATGGATGGTGAGCATGGTGAGTATGCTTCTAAAGCAAAAATAAACTACAAACTAAGCCTAACTGTGAAAATTAAAATTTGACAAAGTTCGACATGTTTTTGTACATGGTGGAAGTGTGGCCTTTATTTACGGAGGTAGTCCAGTAAATTAAATTGGCCACATTTATGGGGCTATAAAGCCTAGCCTATCATGCCTATACGTTAGCCCCAGCGCCTGTACGATCACCGCCTGTATGTACTTCCCTAAGGCTAAAGCATTCCCCTCCTCACTCAAGTTTGAACGGCATGTACTCAAATTAATTTAGTTAAGAGGAACTTAGCTTTGATTCCGTCCAGTGTTTGTAGCATTGAGCAGCAAATACTGTATAAGTTGGATCAGTATTTAAATGATAAAACCATGGAGCTAAAACTAAGTAGGTGACTAAACACGGCCGACTAAACATGCTATTAATAAATGCGTCCGTACGGACGCTGCCATGTTGAAATATTCTTCAGTAAACGACGAACGGTGGCGCTATACACTTTATCCACATTAAACTTTTCCCTAGTCGTACGTTACTTAATTATAACGTTTGCTATGGTTTTTTTTAAAATTAGTATTCCTTATATAAGTTCATCATAATAATTGTATGTAGGCCTAGGCCTATAGTAATATACATGTATACGTTTCGTCGCATTAATTACCTTTGTATCGTGTTCTAGTTCAAGTTCAACCCTCTCTAATAACTGTGTAATTCCATTTCTGGTGAAACGATAGCGTCTATAAATTTCATCGTCCGTCAAAGAATCAAGCGGGCATCTACGCGGTCTACGCTCTCCAAACAATCTTTCTCGGCGTAATGCCCGGCCAGCTTCTCTGTCTAGCAGCAGCATAAACGCCATTTTTTCCCCTGCAACTTGAGTTACGACGACCCTTGGGGTCGTCGTAAGTTACGATGTATTACATCCTGTTGCCATGGGATTTACGAATCATTGAACGCATCGTAAGTTTCGTGAAATCGTTTTTAGGCCATTTTGAAAGTTGCGATGCATATGCATCGCAACTTACGTTTACGATGCATCGTAGCGTTTCGTGAAATCGACCGCAGGAGGCACAGCCACGCTGACCTTAGGCATCACACACAGACTGCACCAGCACTTCTTTTGATCGATGGCTGTGCAATATCAAAGGATACACAGCGGTGTTCCAATCAGTGTTCTAAGCATTGAAGGAGGGTCTCTCTTTTTTTTTGCGTTGGGGTGCCATGCTTGAAGGCTTGCTTAGGGATCAACTCCACAAAGGAATGCATTAATAAAAACTTCTCTCGTTTCTTAGTAAAAGTCATTTCTTGTTGACATGTTACTATTTTTGGTGTCGTTTTCAGTAGAAATAGTCAAATAGAAGATCGATGAGTTTTAAGCACTGAAGGTTTTTTTGTGTGTTGGGGTGCCTGGCTTGCAGGCTTACTTATCATCACTCTACAAAGAAATACAATAAAAACTTCCAACTCTAAGTAAATGTACTGTTTGTTGACATGTTAGTTGTTACTATTTTGGTGTCGGTCTCACTAAACAATCAAATTTGTTGAAATGGAGGATCCATGTAGATATATGTTACATGTCATGAACGTACATGTAGGCTTGCATGCAAGCATACATGTACATGTATAAGTCATTATGTATGGGGAATAACAAGACAAAAAATTCCCTTTTCGGCCTACATGTACATTTAACTCAACATTTAATAAATTCAGCTTTTCCTTGTTTACATTTCATTAACTTCCGATATATGTTCAACACTTGAATTTTAGGCAATATTACAGTTTAAGGTTTTGTCATACAATGGATTAGGCCTAATAAATGTATGATTAATTGCCTACATAGCAAATTGCTGACTAACTTTTCAGAACAAACATATTATTGCTATATTCACTGCATTTCAATTACACCTGTACGCACTCAAAATTCTCGTACCAGCATAATTAGATATTCTTCAAACTACTTCGATTGCTGGCATGGCAATGGTAATGCCAAATATGACACACAAGTCACCAGCTTTTTGTGAAATTTACGTCTAAAATGACCATGGTGAGGATTTATCATTTTAACCTTTCTGCTATTTCAGATCGATTTTAATCTTTGGGACCTTTGAATCAAGGATCATAGATCAGGCACACAATGCACAAATTTTGAAGAATTTCATTGGAGCACCGCTGAGAAGAATTTTGACCTTTTTTTTTTAGTGTGCATTAACAAACAATGTCAACCTTGTATGAACGTTTCGTTCATTATAAATTCCATTTCCAATGGAAAACACGAACCTGCGGCTATTTATAATATTTTTTGCGTAATCATCTTCAACATGAGGCAGGGTAAATAGCGAGAGATGAAATCTAACCTTCAAACACCGTGGCGATAAAGTGATAATATATTGAATTGTGTTGCAGATACATTGTATTGATTTTCTTTTAATTTTAAGAAAAAAGGTAGGCTATTTAATTAATATACATTTTTTTCTCTAAATCAGTTTAATTTTGTATTGAAAAAAAGGGGAGGGGTGGAGGAATGTCACTTATAACAGAAAATAATCAATGTAAAATGTCATGAAATAAAAAATAATCAATGTTGTTTTTGATGGATGGCAATTGTTTTAGTCCTTGGAAATTTCTATAATTAAATAATCTATTGACCCTGTATATATTACATTTGTACATATTGACATCTCATTTTGGAATAATGAAATTGCATGGATAATGTGTGAAACAGACTGTACAGAGCTTTTAAACACATATTAAAGGTTTAAATAACATACATGTGCGTGTCCATGTATTCTTGAACATGTACATACATGTATGTGTGCAATCAAACATCAGACAATGTTGTATGCATGCACAGTATGCAAGCAGATGCCATTTTCAATATTGACAATGCAATTTCAGTAACATTCTGCCAAAAATAATATTTTCATTTCAATTCAATTCCATTCCTAGACCAACATGGCCAAGTGTATGCACAGTATATTGATAAGCCTTTACAGCAAACATTGCGCTGAATGTAGCCATGTTTTAATATCATTCAGCAAGTGTACTGTCGACCTAACCGGAGCCACACCCTGATGGCTGCGACACACAAAGAGCGCTGCTTGGAGCAGGCCAAAATCAGGCACCAATCAACAAAGTGAATCACAATATATGCCTAGATGCTGGGACAGAGGCCAGCGTGTACTTTTATCAATTTTGCGACGTGATTGAGCACAAAACAATGGGGATTCGGGGGCAAATCGCGGTCACTGTTAATAACGCTCTGTGCGTGCATTGTATGCACACTGACACAGCCCCGGGCAGATATTCATATTTTTTGTTTCCCCTCATTTTTTTTTTCCTCATTTTTGTTTTCTCCACCCACCAGTGCTGTTTGTCCAGGCCCTTCAGCTGCTGGGAAGAGCTAGGCGAGGTGGCTCAGCGGGACTGAATTAATTCCACATAGATGCGGAGAAGAAAAAAAAATCTGTCGCAATACATGTACCGCTCCCGCATGCATGATGCCGTCAGCCGGAACAAAGACACAAAGCTGAGAATATGATCTCACTCAGTGACTGACTGCATGACTGGAACTCAGAAATGAATGGATGAAACGGGCAGACCAAATGAATGTCATTTACATGGCATTTGGACCTTCATCTTCCAATTCAGCTCATGGTGTGCAAATTTCTTTATTTAATTAAACGCGGCAAACTTTATTTTCAAATTTATTATTTTTTTTCCCACACATATTGATTAATAAATATCTATGTAGGATTAATAAATATCAGCTCGTTCTCATCGATACTATATTTGAATGACTTCATCTGGCATTTTAACCCTAAGGATTTTTGAGGATTGAGGATGAATGGCAAAAAAATTGTTGGTTGTTTTGGAGGATGCGTTGTGGCGAGTTCAAAGGCTGTACCCAGCATTGTTTACATTCAGTCATGCATAATTGAGCCCTGAATTATGATTGATATTAACCGCACTGCTTCTGAATGTCATCAGCAATGCCTCAACAACGGTGATTGTTGGAAGATTTCAAAGGATTGAGGCAACGGTTACCCCTCCACTGAACAAATTCAAGAAATAAGGCCAAATAAAAAAAAAACATGTTTAGTGTCACTGCCTGCTTCCTTTTTGGAGGCCGCCCCTATTTCTTTTCTTTTTATAACACGAAAAAATTATTAATTTTAAATAGTGACATCATTTTGGCCTCTTTGTCTGTTGCATATTGTCCTGAGTCCAAGTGGCGGCCACCTTGAAAAATAGCCCGGTCGGGCGGCCATTTTGGAAGGGAAAAAAAGGGCCTCCTTCTTTCCTTTTTTTTTTTTCAAAAGGCAGGACGCTAATTATTATTATTTTTTATGGCATAACGGATGATTTTGAAAGATTGAGGATAAATCCAATTTTGACATGGTGGCAATGGGAGGATTCTGCAGGATTGAGGATGGTTCGTAGCAAAAAAGGCCTATGGAGTTAGGATTTGGCTCCAAATTTCAAGGAGAGGAAAATATTTTATTGTAAAAAAAACAAATCCAACAAAACAGGAAAAAGAAGCTGTTTTTCCCCCCTCATCAAATGAACATTTCCATTTTGTATTCACGCTACTTCCACCTCATGAAGGAGATCAATAGTGTGTCTGGCCACCAGTGATCACATGTTGGCAAAATCGATATTCCGTTGATTAAAACTACGGAACCTACCCGGCATTCATTTATTAGATGAATATTTATGTTATGTACCAGCACTGTTATGTACTTGAGACAAAAAGCCAAACTTTTCATTGCAGCATTGTTTTAAAGGGAATATACATCATTTGCTTTTGCTGTAATTTTCAGAAATGGATGGAATTGGGGGGTTGGAAATATATAGCAAATATAGTTACACTGACTTTTTTGAGGTTTTGGGTTCGAAATGCTATAAAAACCAAGAAAAACAATCATTTTCCTGTAGTCTGGTTCCCTGACTCCATTTAAGAAGAAACAGAGCAGTTTACATATATTGGGGAATTGTAAGGTCAGGGAACCAGTCTAGCTGGCTTGTACCCGTTCATAGGTGTGTAATCGATTGCAAACAAGTGCGATGGTCAACTGGGGCCAGTATTTGAAAAAAAGCCAGTTTTTTCCAACGCTGATCGGCCGATCATCGTTGGAAATTGATACAAAAATACCACTTTTCTTGAAAATGACAGTATACCAGGTGCCATGATTTTACAGGATGCTTTACACTGTCATTCACTAACAGTCCAGCAAGGTATTTCAAAATGATTTGGTAGTTTTATTTTTTGATGTTTGCAAATGTTGTATTTTCCCTTTAAAGGCTTATACATGTACGTATACATGTACAATAATTTTTCATGCAGCTTGTTTGTTTCCAATAATAACACCACTCCAAATCCAAAGAAAATTGTTCAAAACCTAACCTGTTGAAATTTCAACTCAGTGGATTTTACACTTTCGAGAAACCATGCACAACGTTTGATCAAGAGCACGATATTTCCCCAAATCACCTACATTTCTTGATTTCTTCTAAAAGACGGCAAGCCAGATAGAATTATTGCACTGGGTGTTTAGTACATGTGCCAGTGCAATCTGTAATCCAAGTAAAGTTTTTTTTGATAACAATTCGGTAGGTTACTTTTGGGACAATTGCAAAATGATCCTATATGACTTTAAGCAACGACAAGTGAAATATAATAAATTTGTCTGACTGCAGGGGGCATGTATTCTGACACCTTAATAGCTCCATTTCTCAGTGTATTGCCCACACGAAATTTGTAACTCGATGTTGTAATTTCTCCATTTGATTGGCATCTACCCGGTAAGTACTCTAGAAAGAAAGGGCCAGATTATTTTCAGAGTAAAAAGCCTGTCTGTCAAATCTCTTTCACGATAAAAGCTCGTTCAACAAGAGTCTAGTAAAGACGGCCAGCCTAATCCTGTGAGAAATGAAGTGGAAAACGCATTAAGAAAATGGAATCCTGATTAAAATAGAAAAGCCGCATCTTCTTACCCCGGGCGATGGGATTATTTGCATTGGCCGTGCTGATTGGTTAGAATTTCTCGGCAAAAGCAACAAGGCCGTATGTATTTGATTGATGGTAACCAATGCATTCTGGACTTGGTTTTAAAATAAATTTTCTGCACGCAAATGCACATTACTGTGGGAAATTTTAGGAATATATCTCCAAAGCAGGTTGTGTATAAAATGTTGTGTGCAGATTTGATAAATGTAATATACAGAATTTCATACTGAAAGCGACTACTGTAAAAATTTCTAAACATAAACGACAAATTGTATGTCCTTGTGAATATCTGATGTTATGTAAAGTTAATTGGAGACAGCATCTGTATTAAATAAAAATCTTTTTATTTTATTTTTCACTCCGACCTAAATCCCCATTCAGGACAAAAAATGCAACATTATTTTTGTTAATTTACCTGGGGAAGATCTGTTTACAACATTGTAGGCTGACATTATCCTGAATAACGAGCAAGACTTTATTTCAAAAATACAGTTCAATGTTCAACTGTTGTTCCTCAGTTGTAAAAAATAACAAAATTGTAGTTTACAGTTTGTAAAAACGACAATAGGGCCTACTCTTGAAAAGTTTTTAGATTTAAATTGTCAATAACAACTAAAACATGTTAACATTATTTTATATTGCTAATAATAAATAATATTGGCAAATAAAATTTGTCAATAAAAATTTTGTAAAATTTACGTGGGCATAAATCTTACAAAATATCAACCAACAAAAGAATGATAAGGCGAAGTAAAAAAAAAAACATGTTTAGCGTCCCCGCCCGCTTCCTTTTTAGAGGCCGCCTCCTTTTTTTTTTTTTTTTTTTTTTTTTTTTTAGACAAAAATTGATAAATTTTAACGATCTCTGACAAAAGAAATCGTATTTTTAGACTTTTATACCGTGTATAAAGCTGTGGAAATAGTCAATGAGTCCAAGTGGCGGCCATTTTGAAAAAAGCTGGTAACCATCTTGAAAAATAGCCCGGCCGCGTTGCCTTGAAAAATGTGTCGGGCGGCCATTTTGAAAAAAAAAAAAAAAAAAAAAAAAGGGCCTCCTCCTTCCTTTTTGTCAAAGAGGCAGGACGCTAAACATGTTTTGTTTTTTTTATTTTGCCTAATAAGTCGAGCAAAATAACTTAAGTTGCACGATTAAAATATTTTATTATTCCTCCAAGTCAAGTCAGTAGATTTTTGGCAGCGAACTGAAGTGTTAGATTTTTAACACAGAGTAAAAAAAATCCCCGCCCTGTAAACTTCATGAACTTATTTACAATACAACATGAGGGCGCCATTCCACATTTTGGGAAGTTTGCCAAAATCAGAAAATGATCAACAAACTGAAAATGTCGAGATTGGGTGTACTTTTGCTTGTATTTCCTTCGTCAAATAAGACTTTTCACAATTCACAGAGAATCACCAACAAATCTGAAACATGATCACAGTAAAGAAACTCCAAGGAAGTGTTTTCAAGTAAGTGAAATCTTACCTTGATTCCTAAGGAGAAACGTTGACGACCACGAAAACTCACAATCAATATAACATGCGAAAATTTAGCAAGTACCCTTTCCCCGCCGCCGCCTTGCTCAACTTCTAACGGATCATGCAATTGGTCCTTTCCCCCAGAGCCGCGCAAGATGTGGTACATAAGATCTTCTTTGATTGGTTAATATTTTTATCCCACGGATGTTGACATTTTGAAGGCTGGTTCCCAATGTAAATGCCCGTTACTAATCACGTATAGTTTCAGTAGGTGCCAGTCTAGCGTTCCTTTACGGAAAGTTTCAAGATGGCGCTGCCCTTGGATTGAGATCTGATGAAACATTGGGAAAACGAAATTGTAGAATTCTTCGTAATGATTACTATTTGTCGTAATACAACTGCAAATTTTCGAAGAAAATATCAAGTTTATCATCATGTTCCGATTCTTTACGCGATCAAACCACGCACTCGGTGTAAATAATGTATTTTATAATCATCCGTGTTACAAAACTGCACAGTTGATCGGTAGACTCAAATCCAGCCGTTCAAGTCCAGCCGTGTGTTCCTCGCGAACACTTGACTCTATTCATCGGGATGATACAGGAACTGCTACTTCGTCGTCTTCACAGTGGTCACACAGTGTGACAAGAACTCTTCATCAAGTTCAGGAGAGATATATTTCGAGGATAAATTTACATTCTCGAAAAAGTAAACAGTGTCAGTGTCAAAAACATGAATCAAAAACTGTGTGTTCGCAAATTCCTGCAACAGCGAGATGTTCAAACGGATCATCATTACCCAAACAAGAAGTAGTGAGTGTCTCTCTCTAATCCTCTATGATGTGCTGTGTTATTTACTTTTTCATGCATTCATCACAAATTAATTGAAATTCTAACGTAAGGAAACTTGGAAAATAAATATTTGTGATGCAATCAAGCTACATGAGTCGTTTGTCGACCCTGGTCAATTTTTTATTTTTTTACAGATTTAAAGAGCACAATCTCAGCTTTACTGCTGTGAAAACCGCATGCTGATACCATCTTTAGTTAAAAAATAATGGCAGTTGGAACACCAAGAGATGCCATGAAGTGATGTGATGAAGTGATCTTATTTTGGCCTGTATCTCCAAATAAAAAGTCCCGACAAACGACTCATTTAGCTTGATCGCATCACATTTATTTGTTGTAAAAAGTCACAAATCCTACAAAAGTTCAACTGTTGTTATAAATCTACCACAGTGTCAAGTAAAACTTGTTAAGATGCTTCACCTAACGTAACATCTTTGGAAATAGTTGTCTTGTCAAGTTGAGAACTTTTTGTTGGGAACTAGAATTTTGTTTTATGAAAAACAAAATATTTGACAAATAAATAGTATGGTCTTTTTTTGTGTCAGTTGATGGTTTTTTTTTTTGGTTTTTTTTACATTAAATTCACTTTTCGTCACTTCCTTTCTTTCTATTTTGTTTAGGTGTTTTCTTCAAGATTTCTAACCAGAGAGTACCACGCTTTGACAAGAATTCTTCAGCGATCAGGTTTCAATAATGTCCCAGCTCTGCAACAGCTTATTGGGATTGGTATGACTTAAACCTAACCCCACAAATGTGGCTCAAATACTGGACTTCCTCCGTATCAGAGGTATATTCCAGTATTTGAGCCACATTTTATGAGGCTAGATTTAACTAGTGTTGTAACACTAACAAAGTCAAATTTTCACTAGTCAAGTACAGTCGCAAGTCAATTTTTCCTGAGTCAAGTCAAGTCGCAAGTCAATTTTTTAAAGTCCGTCTGAACATGCTAAGTCATAATTCACATGATAGATGTACATGTACATGTACACTTTCTCTGACATCCTTTATTGACAATACAAGTATTTAGTTTGTAATATACGAGTACAAGTTACAGGTAGGAATTGTGCCTAATTGACGCCCAGCTCGCTACATGTGCATCAAGTCCTTGGCTTTCTGTTAACCGAATTTTGCATATGCCCGAAAAATTGTTATAAAAGTCAAGTTTATTCCATCAAGCCAAGTTGCAAGTCATTTTTTTCCAAGTCAAGTCAAGTCTCAAGTCCAAAAAATAGCAACTTTTGTCAGACTTGAGTCCAAGTCAGAGACTCAAGACAACAACACTGGATTTAACCCTATTTAATAACACAACTCTTGTACAAGGAAATGTCCCATGGGTTTCAATTATTGGTCTTGAAATTTGCATCAATGTATAATGTGACTGACTTTACACCCCAGTGGCTTCAGACCATAGAGCTATATTAAATTACTAGAGCGCTAACTCCTCATTCTTGCGTGCGGAGAAGCTTTGAAGCCGCTCTGGGCGCAGACATTTTGAATTAATGTGCGTGTTTGTAGCACACAATCATAATAGATGGAGTGAATTTTAAAAGTGTACTCTAAATGCAACGCGCAAGTAGAAGATATGCAAACAACTTAAGCGCGCCATGACGGTTCAAAAAACGTCATGGCGAAAAGCATCTGCAGCGGATACGCACACGTTGCATTGCGTTGTAGAGCAAAATGAAACACTCATTTGCTGATCGTGCGTTTTGGTTTTGGGCGTATCGTCTTCCATGATGCACCGGTATGGAAAACAAACGCAGATATGCAAATAGCCGTACAAAAGCCGTACAAAATTTCGAGTTTTACATAGGTTTATGCACTTGAACATGGATGCGCCCATCAGGCATTACTTTGTACATCGAGTTAGCGCTCTAGTAGTTTAATATAGCTCTATGCTTCAGACGCATCCATTCTCCATTTCTGTACCTCTAAAAAAAAAACAATTTGTTTGGGCCAAAACTCCCTCATCGTGAAATTTTATCAGATGTACACACAAGATGTCTTGAGGCCACAAATGAATCCTTTAAAGCCTTACATGTATTTCTTATTTTAACTGGGTAGCCCATTCAACCATATCCACTGGTCTCCCATGGGGCCCAGTAAAGAGAAGACAGTGTGAAGAAATTACAGTTTTAGATGTGGGAGGAAAACCCCAGAAGAATATTCTGAGGAAAACCCACAAAATCAAGTAGGGACTGAAAACCCAATCCACATATTGACCCGGGTAGGAATCGACCCCGGGGCACAGCGGTGGAAGGCAAGGAAAGTACCCCTACGCCAACATGACTCCCCAACCTGAGCTCAGTACGGTCAGTATCAAGTGAGAAAACCAAGACATTAGCAAATAGTTTCTTAAAAGGGTTTTAATTTTTGTAGAGGGTTGGTGACAATACAAACTGACATCAGACAGCTGAAACAGCTTAGGCCAAAAAAAAAATAATAGTTCTGCTTCCGATTACATGGCATTCCAAAATAGGGTAGGTAGGTAGGGAATTTTTTTTTTTTTGCCAATTTTTTTTGTGTACGATCATATGGAGGCGTCTGCATGTAATCAAGGGTAAAATGTAGAAATTGATAGTTTGGGGTGTTTTTTTTCTCATTTTCCCATAACAAAATTAGGGTAGGGGCTATCAGAATAGGATAGGTAGGGAAACCGGAACCAGAACAATTTTTTTTCTTTGTTAAAAAAAGTTAAAACTGATTGTCCCAGTTTGAGTTGTACACATGGTTTCTGCATCTAATTTTACCCTTAGTTCTCTGGCTCCGTTTATTTTTATTAAAATCAGGGAATGTCAATTTCTTCAGCACATCATCCAGGCAGAATCAGCAAAACGACAACAAGAATGAAGAAAGAAAGGATGAGGAAGAAGGTGAGTTATACGCTGAGCAGAAATCAGCAGGGAACCGGTCACCGGCAATAGACATCGTTTCTGGCTGGTAACCTATTTTGTTTTGCTCAGCAAAACTTTTGAGTGCTAAGCAAAGATTGTTACTGTCGTGCCCAACTTCAGTATTGTCCCAAGTCTCGACTGTAGTTCAGATCCTGACTTATTTTTGAGATCATCTCAAATCTAGTGACACCATCCCAACTATAGTTTGGGCATTTGCTGAAGATAGGGCGTAACTTCCTTTTGTAAAGTTTGGTCGAGTTTTGAGTAGTTATATTATGAGCTTCTCAAACAATGTGATGTTGGTATAGATTGCGCATTGAATGGGTAGGCCTGTTAAGCCCCAGCTGGACCATGGTCCCAACTTAAACTGGGACCCAACTTAAACTGGGATAATCCCAACTGAAGTGTTAGTGATGAAACTCTTTATTTGGGGCGGTCTCAACTTAAGTTGGGAGAGTCCCAACTGAAGTTGGGACATTGGTCTAGTTGGGCGTAACAGGCCTACGGGTGCAACCCTGCAAAAAAAATCCCATAGACACTAGTGCTAAATGCGCATACTTCAAATTTCTTTTAAAAATACTCCAAACTCTCACAGGTATTCAAGCTGCACAGAAAAATGATGATCAATGTGTCATCTTTCATTTCCTTTTCATTTTGTGGTGGGTTGACCATTGACTTTTCCAGATATTCTCACCCAAAGAAGACGACCCCTATTTTCCCTAAAGCGGAAAAGTAGCCATCTTGAAAAACAATCCCTCCACAACATGGCAAAACTAGCGCCACTTTTGAGCCCAATAGCATCCAAAATGCTCAGAATTGGAAGCCCCAAGTCCAGGCCAGAGGTTCATTACCGTATCTCTTCAATTCCCCAATTTTATGGCTCTCAAAACTCTCTAATATAGAATATTTTGAGGGTATAACTTTTATTCATGAGCTCGGCGGACGGATTTTTGGCCTATTTACAGGTGTGCACCCCTACACAGTCCACAGGGGGATGCCTCCACTAAATTGGACCAACTGGGCAAGAGAAGCTTTTTTTAACGTCTTAGAAATAATTTTGAGCTTTGTTTTGAAATCATTTGTGCTCAGTCATCAATGACTGCAGGGATGCAAGGAAGGTATCAGTAATGAATGGGAGGCTTGCGGTAACACCATGTGAATGAAAGATATCTGTAAGTGAGTTGTGTGGTTCTGGGAAGAACCAGTTGGTTTAAAGGGAATATACAACATTTGCAAACATCGAAAAATAAAACTACCAAGTTTTTACGAAATACCTTACTAGGATGTTGGTAAATGACAGTAAAGGCATCCTGTAAAACTATGGCACCTGGTGTGAAGTCATTTTCAAGAAACTTGTATTGTTGTATACATTTCCAACGGTGGTCGGCCGACCACCGTTGGAAAAACCTAACTATTTTTCAACTACTGCTCAAAATTTACAATTTTCAGTCCAAATTTTGTTTGCTATTGGTTACATGTTCATGAACGGGTGCAGGCCAGCTAGACTGGTTCCCTAACCTTATAATTTTCCGACAACTATAAATTGATGCATTTTATCTTTAGTGGAGTCAGGGAACCAGACTACTTAAACGTTTTTTGTTTTTCTTGGTTTTTCAAGCATTTTCGAAAAACAAAACTTCAAAATATGTCAGTTAAACAATATTTGATCTAGGCCTATTATACTAACCCCTCAAATAGTTCTTTCTGAAAATTACAGCAAAAGCCAATGATGTACATTCCCTTTAACTCGACGCTTCAAACAGTATGCTGTACTCGTCATAAGGTATCAGTAGAAAGCTGATAAGCCACCCTTGGAGATGCAACCACACTGATATGTTTCAAGCTTTTTTTTAACCCTAACCGAACTCAACCCATCAAAGTTCAACAGCATGTTGGGATAGGTACAGTACCCCTAAACAGATGGTCGTTTACATTGGGTTTGGTATACGTCCAGAAACTAAGTCCAACAGTGTGTGTGTACAGTTTCCCATGTGGGTGTGTGTAATTTGCCTGAATGGGTACGGTTCCTAGTAAATTATGCTGGGGAGTTAGGGTTAAAGGGAATGTACATCATTGGCTTTTGCTGTAATTTTCAGAAATGAGGGTTAGTATAACAGATCAAATATTGTTACACTGACAAGTTTGAAGTTTTGTGTTCGAAAATACTGGAAAACCGAAGAAAAACAAAAATTTCAAGTAGTCTGGTTCCCTGACTCCACTAAAGATAAAATGGATCATTTATAGATGCTGGAAAATTGTAAGATAATGGAACCAGTCTAATTTGGAGCAGTAGTTGAAAAATAGTTAGGTTTTTCCAACGGTGGTCGGCCGACCACCGTTGGAAATTTATACAAAATACCACTTTTCTTGAAAATGACTTCACACCAGGTGCCATAATTTTACAGGATGCTTCAGACTGTCATTTACCAACATCCTAATAAGGTATTTCATAAAAAAAATGGTACTTTTGTTTTTCGATGTTTGCAAATGTTGTATATTCCCTTTAAGGCATATACTGGTAGGATCATTTACATTTATCCCAAAAGTAACGGTAGTAACCTACAAAATTATTCCCCAAAGCTTACTTGGATTATATATCTTGCTGGTACTAAACACGCTGTGAAATTATCTTGTCTGACTTGATGTCATTTAGAAGAAATCAAGATGATTTCCAGCGATCAGTCAGCTGCCTGATTATTGGAATAGAGAGTGCTATAGATGAAATTGTGTTTCGTGATCGAAAGGTTGTGTATGGTTTTTCGCCATTTTCTCAAAAAAAAAATGTAATATCCACTGAGCTGAAACTTCAACAGGTTAGGTTTGAACATTCTTCTTTGGATTTTGAGTGGTGGTATTATTGGAAATGAACAAAATGCATGAAAAGCAAATGATCCTGCATGCCTTTAAAGGGAAAATACAACATTTGCAAACATTGGAAAACAAAACTACCAATTTTTTTACGAAATACCTTACTAGGATGTTGGTAAATGAAAGTCTAAAGCATCCTGTAAAATTATGGCACCTGGTGTGAAGTCATTTTCAAGAAAAGTGGTATTTTGTATAAATTTCCAACGATGGTCTGCCAACCACCGTTGGAAAAACCTAACTATTTTTCAACAACTGCTCCAAATTTACCCTTTTTTCAGTCCAAATTTTGTTTGCTATTGGTTACATGTTCATGAACGGGTGCAGGCCAGCTAGACTGGTTCCCTTACCTTACAATTTTCTGGCATTTATAAATTGATCCATTTCATCTTTAGTGGAGTCAGGGAACCAGACTACTTGAAAATTTAGGTTTTTCTTGGTTTTTCCAGCATTTTCGAACACAAAACTTCAAACTTGTCAGTGTAACAATATTTGATCTATTATACTAACCCCTCAAAGTCAAATAGTTCATTTCTGAAAATTACAGCAAAAGCCAATGATGTACATTCCCAACCTCGTACCCAGGGTGTCGAGCAGTACGCGCCCACCACTACCTGCTCTCTCACCCTGGTATTGGATCATTTGCATGTGCAAGATTTTTGCACATGTATGCAAATGAGGAACAGTCTGGTGCCTGGATATGCGTTACACATTAGCGTTTGTTTTTGTATGCGGTGTCTGGGGTAAAAACAGAGTCAATTTGTAGCAGCGCGAGCACGGCGTGAGTTACGAAAACACGATTTTTGAAATCAAACTGTTACGATCTTATCGAGACAACATGCAGTATCATATTTCATATTAATATGAGCAAATTGGAAAGGAAATTAGTATTTTCGAGAAGGCGTGGACGAATGATCGCGAAAACACGTTCTGCACGTTGTGAATATATAGCACCAAGTACACGATAAAAATCCATTACTAGCCAATTGCGGTATCCAATCAGGATACAGGAAGAAAGTTTCCTATCCAGGGTTTACTATTGGAAACGCGGTTAGAAATAAAGTAAGCACGTAAGGGACGAGGTTGGTACATTCCCTTTAATGTTAGCATTCTAAGCCATTATCATATATCCCCCTTGCCTTTCCAGATCCCGCCAAGCGAGGGAGTGAGGGGGATAACATACGAATGCTCTTAGTCCTGATGCTGATCCTGACGCTTCTGAACTTCCTGTCCAAGGAGGATGAGGCGCAGAGCATCTCATGGCAGACATTCATCAATGAGATGCTGATGAAGGGAGAGGTAAGACAAGCTCAAAGATTGATTGGTAAATTGCTTGATGTATGTGTCAGCCTCGACTCCATGGGCGCGTGCGCGTTCCTTACACTAACCCCTGGCCGTGATGATGACGTAAATGACGCTGATTGGCTATTCCCAGCGTACTGCGCGCGCATTTCAAAGATTGCACGCCGGGGGTGCCCATAATGCGCTCGCGTGCTTTGCATGTAAACGTCACGTACGAAAAAAAAATTGTTATTCAAATGTCGCGATGCCTGTATGATATGGATTATGGCAGCCTCGTTTTTCACTAAAAAAAAACCCTGTATCTTCGGTTGTACAGGGACGAAAGTGGTACGTACATTTAATACAAATCTTTGCTAAATAAGGCAACGTCGAAACGTAATGTTTGAAAGGATTGATTCTTCAAAATTACAACTTTTAACATTTTAAGATGGCGTCGGCACGTAAAACGGATAAACTGCAGCCTAATTATAATGTGCCATATTTTGACACATTTAAATTACACAATTCCAGGGGTTAAGATCGCGCAAGGCATGATGGGAAACAACATGGCGCAGCAAGATCGGTACCCATGGGGAACGAGGTTGTGTATGTGTGAATTCGGGCGATTCGCAATGCAGTGTGCCACCAAGAGTTTGCCATGGAGAGTCTATTTTTCAAGTTTACGGTCAACAAAACATGAACGATTTGAATGAGTGTCAGTAGACAACTTGAGCTAGTTTGTTATAAATTGGGGCAAAGCGTGCGCTGCCTTACAAAAAAAACCATATTGATAAAAAGAAAACAAAAGGGCAAACAGATACTCGAATCATTCGCTTACGAAACTACTGACCGGAAAAACTAACAATTTCAAATGTCCCGCGCTGCGAATTTGTCGACCATCTCCCACAATGCACTGGGAAAAATGAACTCTCCGTGGCAAACTCTTGGTGGCGCACTGCATTGTGAATCACCCGAATTGATCAGTTGATTGATTATTGGTGAATTCATTCATTCATTGATTGGTTATTGATGAGTTTATTGATTGATTTATTGGAGAATTGATTGGTTTATGGATTGATTAATTGATAAATCAATTGGCATATTTTATAGGTTTTATTGAATGAATGGTGATGGATGATTGAATATTTTGAAAGATTTGATGACAGGTTCGTTCGGTGATTCGTTGATTTATTGACAAGCGATTTTGATTGATTGATTGATTGATTTCATTTTTAATTTTATTGACTAGTCAACAATTGTTCCAATTACGAAACCAAGAAGGAATGATGTGTTTGTTTATCAATTAAACAATTGAATTTTTTGACTGACTGAAAAGTTTATCGATCTTACCGTTAATTCATGTGTCGACCATTTCAGTAATAGATCAACAAAAGCTTCATGAATATTGACTTCATAAGAAAAATCAAGAATATGTAAAACTTATGGAAAGTGTACTGAATTTGTTTTCTTTTCACAGAAATACCTTCATTATACCTAATCTTACCAAATCCTCCAAAATCCTCTTTGCAAAATGGAGGATTTTGCAGGATTGAGGCTATATGGCAAAAGTATGTGGCTGATTTTGTAGGAGGCACTTCGTCAAGGTCTTTGGCCGGACCTTGGTTGTTTATGCTCAGCCGTGCATAAATTTAGGCCTAGATTACACTTGAAATCCTCTGCACTTCTCCAGGATGTCACTGGCTCTGCCTCAACATCTTGACAGTGATAGCTGGAGGATTTGGCAGGATTGAGGCAATGGTCACCCCTACAAGGAACACATTCAAGAAATAACGGATGATTTTGGAGGATTCAGGCTGTTACGCAATTTTTACATGGAGGCAGTTGGAGGATTTTGCAGGATTGAGGTTGCATCCTAGCAAAAATGCCTGGGGAGTTGGGGTTAAAAAAAAAAGACAAAGCGCGCCCAGTTGAATTGGACCCAAAAGACTCAGTTGAGGACAGTGTGGATACTCAGATTCTCACTCTGTCAGAGGACATTAGGCTTGCCCTTTGGCTCCAGCAGAAAATGATGATATTTTTTCTGACTTTGTTGTGATTTGCTGTTTTTAGGTCAAGTTTGTATCCGTGACTTATTATGACTCCGATGGCAGTGGTAAGAGCAGTAATCCAGAATCTGACGTGGTTCACGTGTACGCTAATGATGGTGCTATCGTCCATGGAAGAGAGGTACGTTAATACACGTTGTACATGTAAGGTGTCCAATAAAACAATGGAATACTGTCTTGGAAGAATTTTTTTAATTTCTCATGGTCTTTCATGAATCTTCAAGATCTTGACATAGCATGTTGTATTGCATGGCGAGTGAAATGTAATCTAAACATTTTGAATTTATTGTTAGAATATGTAGCTTATTTGGTGTAAATCTTTTACTTCAAATAGAAGTAATCTTCGAACATTACAGCTTTGAATTTCCCTCGATGTGAAGTCATGTTTTTCTTACACTGAAAGATTTCCCAGGTTTGCAGCATTGCTAATGTTGCTAGCATCGTGACTTTGGGCGTGATCCCTGGCTACATGGCATATACGGGTTTATGGCTTCTGACCAGCGCCCCTTGAACAAAGGCATTGACGAAATGGGGAACTGCCAACATAGGGCAGGATAGCTCAGTTGGTAGAGCACCGGAACGGCAATTCAGAGGTCTAAGGTTCAAACCCTGCTCCAGTCAATGTCTTTGTTCAACAGGGGAGGGGGGGGGGGCAACATATTGCAAATACAATATTAAAGAAAACAAGGGACAACGGAAAGTTGTTCTCTCTACCCCCCCCCCCCCACCCGACCGAAAAACACCACCCCACCCTCCCCCACCACCCCTGACTGCTCTAGATCCATCAATAGACACTTTCTGTAGTGTCTGTACAGAGTTGCTACAATTTCAACTTTATACAAATCAATTCTGTCGTTATAAAAAGAGAAAGACAATTTTGTGATTAATTTTGAGGATCCATTCATGGTTTTGATCGGCAGGTTGGTCGAGGTCAGCCCAATCACTTTCGCATGCGAGTGGGCAACATTGACAAGTTTGAGACCAAGTTGAGACAAATGGAGGACAGCCTGGGTATAGCGCTTCATGACAGGGTGAGTAATTAACGAAGCTCTTAAAGTCCATTTTCTTGCTTAAAAAAAATGTCTGCCCATCATCGTACAGTGGCTGTTAGTCCTACTACAGGGTGAGTAAAAAGAAACCCAAAATGTTGGGACCATTGCTTTAGTGAAGTTCTGCCTGTATCACTTTCAAAATCTAGGATGTAAAAGCCCAATTCATAAGCTTTCTTTTAGTACAAGAATCATTCAAATCGCTCATGCACTTTTAAAGTTACAGAATTTTAAACAAAACCACAGTTTTAAAGTTCTGTCCACGGATCACAAAAAAGTAAGTGTTCTTTCAGCAAAATAAAAACAAATCGCATAGGGCTATGTGTGAATTGTTTTCATTTTGCCGATAATCCCCCCCCCCCCCCCTATTTTGTGATCCGTGGACAGAACTTTAGAATGGTGGTTTTGTTTAAAATTCCGTAACTTGAAAAGTACATGAGTGATTTGAATGATTCTTGTACTAAAAGAAAGCTTATGAATTGGGTTTTCATATCCTTGATTTTGAAAGTGCTAAATGCAGAACTTCACTAAAAAATAGTCCCGACATTTGGGTTTCGTCATTTTGTAGAGTCAACCATAATACTTACTCTTTGCATTAAACCACTGATGTCTTACTTTCCCTTTTTGCTACAGATCCAGATTCAATACAAGCACGTGACCAGCGACGGTCTCTCTAGCATCGTGGGAACAGTGTTGGTCATGGCCGTCATCTTCTACATCATCCGCTCGGCGATGAAAGGTGGTGGTGGCATGAATACCTTCACACAGATGAGTGAGTCGCAGCGCGACAAAGAATGAGGGCGCTGTTTCAAACAGCGTGTTCAGTGTTTGAAGTTTCGTTCGTGGCATGAGGCATTTTTGTGGTTTTGTGATATTTTGTCAGCTGTTACAGATCCAAACTTCCAATTCAAATAAACAATTCAGGGGCACCCCAAGTGATGTATCCTGTGCAGTTGTTTCACTAAGAGTTGTTCTAGAGAGCAATCTGGGCATGATGCCATTTCTATCACGAAGGCCCCCTTCAATGGCGAAAGCATTGTGCTAGCTATTGTTCGGGTAATCTGTCACGGGGATGTTACTTTGTACAATAGCATGCCCAATGGTTTCTCCATTGATGGGGGCCTCGCGAGTGTACAGTGTTCACGTTCCCGGATTTGCCTATAGTTTGAACCATATATCTATAAACTTTGTTCGTGGTGCAACCGATGATTCGTACAAATTTTAGCCAATGTAAGTAAAAATGTCATTCATGAAGGAAAGTTGTTAAAAAATTTACAAAAACTTGTGAATGCATCATTACCAATGCATTATTGACTATTTATGTACAGTTTCAAAAAACAATTTCATCCTGTGTTACTATAACAGCTAAAGCGCGGTTCACTCTGGTCGAGGAGGGCGGGTCAAAGGGCGTGACCTTTAAAGACGTCGCGGGTCTGCAGGAGGCAAAGACCGAGGTCATGGAGTTTGTTGACTACTTGAAACGACCTGCCAAATATCAGGAGCTGGGAGCTAAGGTGAGAGGTGTATCCCACACTTTTAAATTCATTATTTTCATACATAGTTTTTGGAACTGATGTTTAAAGCTATAGTCCATCATTTGCAGCTATCCGAAAAGTAACTGGCGTAATTATTGTTGAAAAACATACTTGGTTGAAAGATAGTAAGGGGACTAAACTCCCTGTGAAATTATACTTTCTGGCAAGCTGTCATTTTGAAGTAATCAACGAAAGTAGGCCTTTCCAACGGTGTTTCTTAAGACGCACTGTAGGAAATTTAAATTAGTTGTTCGTTTTGTTATTCAGCGAAGCGCGCGCAAGTATTGGCACGACGCACACGCACCCCCGGTTGCTATAACTCGTCGGATCAGTGCGCGACATCGCGTAGCTGCAATCGGCTCAGTGAGAATGTGTCTCGGACACTGAATTCGGGCCCATTTCAAAATATGATTCAGCAACTTTTGATTTGAAATTGAGATCCTAGAATGCTGTTTTTCTCGGAATATACAGCTGAAGCTGAGCTGAAACTTCATCAGGTTAGTTGTTCAGCACCCTTCTTTAGATTTTGAGCACTTTTTTTGCTTCAAACGAACAAAATGCACAAATTTCAAATGATGGACTATATCTTTAACCAAAGCTCTCTGTCAAACCTGCTCTTAGCAGTTTTAACAACATTCTCACATGATAAATCTCAACGACAAAATCCCTTCCTTTTGCATTCTTGTAGGTACCCAGAGGAGCCCTACTCCTGGGCCCCCCGGGCTGCGGCAAGACCCTCCTAGCCAAAGCTGTAGCCACGGAGGCCAACGTTCCCTTCCTGGCCATGGCTGGGTCAGAGTTCGTGGAGATGATCGGCGGCCTAGGCGCAGCAAGGGTCAGGAACCTGTTCAAGGAAGCTCGGAAGAGGTCGCCCTGCATCGTCTACATCGATGAGCTGGATGCTATCGGCAGAAAGAGGACGGACAAGTGAGTGGTTCTTGTAGTTAGACTGGAGTTGTGACATTATATTATACACTTTAATGAGGACACAATGCTCCCAGTGATTCTGAAATCTTGGGCTTGCAAAGAAAATGTACAAGCCTATAGTAAACTCCAGCTAAACCGGCACTCTCGGGACCCGAGAATTTGTGACGACTTTAATACGGGTATGCCGATATATGCTGTAAGGCGTCATTTTGCCGACTTACATGAATGGTCGTTTGCACACATGATTCATTGCACTAATTGGCTTCGATTTACCCTGGATTGTCTCCTTAATGCTTGAGTTGAATCCAGCAAATTAATCCTCGAATTGTGTCATCACGTTTGGGGTATTGATAGTGGAGACATGTATGTACGTGCACAGTAATGAATTGAATGCGTTTGTGGTCCGGTATATACCACGCACGCATTGACTGCAGCAGTAGTCATTCAATAAGACGACGGGCCCCCAAAATGGACAGAGCGCATGCGTACAGCCTAGAGGGGGTACTGGTATTGATATGCTCACGATGCATATGTGATGTATGCAGTAGGACACCCTTTTTCGACACCAATGCATGCGATCACGGGCAGTGCGAAACCACTTTTTACTCGACACTTTGCCAACCGCTGTACAGGACTCTCAATGCCAATGCGTGATTTGTTGATGCCGACTTACACAAAGGATTTTGTAATACTTTTTATGGAAAGGAGACCGAGAGTAACACGACGACTTGAGCGAAATGGCGACTTATAAAAGCTGACTTAGAAATTAAGAATTCAATGGAAATGCATTACGGACAATCGTGACTTTATCCAGATGGCCCACTTGAGCAATTTGACGAGTTGTACGATGTCGGTTTAGCCGAAGTTTACTGTATTTGGAAGGGACTTGAACCCACGACCTGCTTGCTAGCATCGATGTCTTACTCGACCACCGAGCTTACCGGGGTTAGCTGGCCGGTTTGAGTCTGATACAGCAGTGGGTACTGCAATCAACCACTCTATTTTTGTATTGTAAAATTTGGGCGATTCACAATGCAGTGCGCCACCAAGAGTTTGCCATGGAGAGTCTATTTTTCAAGTTTACGGTCGACAAAACATGAACAATTTGAATGAGTGTCAGTAGACAACTTGAGCTAGTTTGCTATAGATTTGGGCATAGCGTTCTGCCGCCTTACAAAAAACACCATATTGATAAAAAGAAAACAAAAGGGCAAACAGATCCTCGAATCATACGCTTACGAAACTACTGACCAGAAAAAAACTAACAATTTCAATTGTCCCGCGCTGCGAATTTGTCGACCATCTCCCACAATGCACTGGGAAAAAATGAACTCTACATCTGCTTGTAGTTGAAGTGTTCAGATTGGTTTCAGTATTGCAGCAATCAGTTTTTCTGTACATATTTTTTTACAGTGCTTCACTGGGGAGTTCTGGGGAAGAAGAACAGACACTGAATCAGCTGCTGGTTGAGATGGACGGTATGGGTACTAAGAAAGGCGTCATTATGCTGGCATCTACAAACAGGGCAGATATCCTGGACAAAGTAAGCCCCTTGCCACCTTCCAATCTCGGAAATAACATTGTCTGATTTTTGTAAAAATTTGCTATGTTTGCAGAGACATTCATTTCTGAACGAACATTTGGAGCTCCATTAGACAAAGCATTCTCTGATCACCATTATTTCACGCACAAATGGAAAACGAAGTCATTTTGGGCACCCCACATCACAAATTTGACTTTTGGGGTGAACACTACATCTGATATTTATGATATTGACGTCCAAAATGTGTACAGGATATCAATCACCAAAAAGAAAAATCGCACAGCGATGATATTGACAAAAAATGTCCAGCTGATGGTTAATCAAATGGGAACTCAAAGTATTTTTAAAACCAAGGCATCACCAGTGTTGAGATTTGAAGGTTTGCACGGTGGAAAGATACTAAGACAAGATAAGTTTGCGGTAGCACCATGTGGATAAATCTCTTTTGTGAGTATGTGTGGTTCTGAAAAGAACCGGAGGGACTCAACGTTTCGAACAGTATGCTCTGCCCGTCGTCAGGAGAATGATTGGATTCCAACGATGATGCGATGTTATAAGGATGGGTGCGGTGAGGCCTGAGAAGGATGCAAACTGGTGAAGCTCGAAACCGGTGAAGCTGAGAAGGATGCAAGTTGACTGAGGGATGCTGGATGATTCCTGGAGCGTGTCAGTACACAGTGAGGGGGGCAAAGGGGAAGGAGCTCAGGGTATAGGTGACCCATAGGCGAGAACTACGCATACTCACAAAAGAGATTTATTCACATGGAGCCGCAAACTTATCTTGTCTTATCACCGTGTTGTTTCTGATTCTTGGAGGTGTTTCGTCTAGAAGAGGTACCTGTCTTTGTGAGTTGAGTTCATCAAAATACACCAACGGGGGTGAACTTTAGAAGAAAAAAAATATGCTTAATCAAAATGGAAGTAGCACAATTACTTTTGAGCTGTTACATGCATTTAGAATTCCCTTTCAGTGCACAAGCCCATCTGGGTGTATTTGAACAATTATGGTATATGGTCGGCATATGTCCGATATCCTTTACAGGGTGAGTCAGAATGATCTGGACCCAAATTAAAGAAAATATAAAAAATATGTAGCAATTAATATCAAAACAAGTGCAAATGAGTTATGTTATGGGCTCCGTGCGCCGACAAAAGAGGGCGCCCTTTTACCTAGCAACGACGTCCCATGGGCGGGACATTTCGCTGGTTGACGCGCACCGTTCCTTGTGTGTGCGCACGTACACCAGGGGTTTGGTCGTATGTACATGCAGTGGCCGAGCTTCGCGGCAAATGAATTGCACTCAGGCAAGATGGCGTCGGTCGGTCACCCCAACTGTATTTTCTTTGCCAGTGAGGGGGTACTTGTGAACGGAGCGGATAAGCTGGTATTTTGGACATATTTGGTGACTATTTCATGTATATCCATTTTACCATTTTGAAGAAAGCGCTAGCAAAGAACACACGCTAAAAAAAACCCACTTGGTTCCTTGGTTCAACAAATTGATTGAAACTTGGTACATATGTGAAGCAATGTAATAACAAATAAAAACCTAGTCATGGTGACTGACTCACTTGAAGTTATTGACACATTTAAAAAAGGCAAAACCAATTCCGTGTGCAGACTGGAAAATGAGCCACTTCAATGAAAATGGCATAACTCCTCACCACAGCCACCAATTTGACAAATTATGCAAAATTCATGTGGAAGACAAGATTATAACCATTCATATGAAACACTCATTTTTTTCCTCTCAATATACTCTATTTGTCACCAAAAAAATGGTGAACTTGGGTCCAGATCATTCGGACTCACCCTGTATACTTAATTTTGGAAAATCCATGTGCCCATTTCCTGTTTGCTAGGTTTCAGTACTTTTGGTACTTGTACTTGTTTGGTTCATCTCCCAAATACTCTGCGTGGGAGTTTACACAGGAGACCAGAAACACCGTGGCAAACCCCTTCTCTTAGCGATAAGTGTCACTGGGTTCTTTTACGTGCATTGGATTACACAACACATGGGACCTACGGCTTTACGTCCCATGCGAAGGACGGAGCAATAATGGTTAAGTGCCTTGCTTAAGAGCACAAGTGTCCGCCGGCGGGCTCGAACCCACGCCACTGTTGCCTCTGAAACACCAGAGCATGAGTCCGGTGTTCTTAACCGCTAGGCCATGACACTCTACCTTTGGCCTTTGTTTGTTTTATCCTTGAAGGCTTTGCTGAGGCCAGGCCGGTTTGACCGTCACATTCTGATCGACTCTCCCACCCTGATTGAGAGGAAGGAGATATTTGAGGTCCACCTCAAGAAGCTGACATTGGAGAACAAACCGGAGTCATACTCGATGAGGCTCGCTCAGCTTACCCCGGGAATGAGTGGTAAAACTTGATGACATTTGGCGTCTGGATATTGTAAAATTTTGTTTTCTGTTCACTAATATTACTTTGATGAAAGAAAAACCCCTTGTTTATTATAATTTCTGCTCTTGAGGTGATTTTCTCTGAATATTTCCAACTTATTTACGTGCAATCATTGAAATCAAGATATTGAAGTCAATTACCAGTTTGGGTTGTTTTTTTGGAGGGGGGGGTTTGGCGGCAACTCGATATATTTGTACAAGCATTACATTCACTGTGTGGACTTCCGAACAAAAGAGGTCCACATAAACCAGATAGCAGCGACGTTGTGTGGACTTGCCCACGTCCACACAGTGTTCCCTCCTCTCTGGAAAACAGGTTTAGAGGCATTTGGGGGTTACGTTTATCGGTGGCAAAATGAAGAGAAACACTAAAGGGAATCTTAGAAAAAAAATTGGGTTGAAAGAGTTTTCACAGTGTGAGTAAAATGAGGTTTTTTTACAGGTTTTTCTTAACTACCCCAAAACAAAGGAATGTCCACACTACGTATGTAACGTAATTGATGATCTAAAAAAAAACTATTTTGAAGGATGGCTTGTGATTAGAATTTGCATCTTGGAGATGTAAATTTTAACATTATGCCATTGCTGCTGCAACATAAGCACAAACATATGTATACAGATTTTATCTTACATCAGCGAAGGACAAATCCTAATGAAAAAAATGTATATCTTCCCAACACAACAAGTGTGGGAAAAGTATGTTTTGGTTGCTAAGGCAATTTTTTCTATTGGCCAATCAGGTGCTGACATCGCCAACATCTGCAACGAGGCCGCCCTGCACGCCGCCCGGGAGAGCAAGAAAATGGTCACGGGCGACGACTTCGAGAGTGCCATCGAGCGGGTCATTGCCGGGGCAACCAAGGTCAACCGGGTCATGTCGGAAGAGGAACGCCGGGTCGTCGCGTTCCACGAATCCGGACACGCACTGGCGGGGTGGTTGCTGGAGCACACGGACGCACTGATGAAGATTTCTATCGTACCACGAGCCAGTGCCGCGCTCGGGTTCGCACAGTACTTGCCGTCCGATCAGAAACTCTACTCAACAGACCAGGTATGTGGGGCTCATGATTTTAGCAGAAAATATATAAGATTTACAGACTCTGCAAGGAGAGTTCATCTTTGGAAGCGAATAGTTTGAGTATATAAAGAGATAAAAACAGTACGATAAAGGAGAAATATTGTTTCATATTGAAACAAGTTGGTCGTGTGGAGATTTTGTCTATGCAAATTCTGTTAAAAAGAGTTAGACAAAAAGTCGTCTTCCATTTTACTTTGTCGCACTTTGTTGTAAATTTGTTGTGCCACTGTACTTGACTTTGAAATATAATTTTACTTTTTAATTACATTTGTATTCCAGACATACTGAATTAGTAATTTTAAAGAAAGTTCAAAGTGCAGATGCATTGAAATTCCTACTTTGCTCACTTATATTTTTTTGTCATTCATAAAGTCAGATTACTATCGATCTATGAAACCTATTTATTGCATGGCATTCTGTTGTTCACTCGTTTACACATTTTTGGGGTTTCTTGTATTTTTCTTTCATGACTTGTCCTAGCTTTTGGACCGTATGTGCATGGCGCTAGGAGGACGGGCTGCAGAGGCACTAATATTTAACAAAGTCACTACAGGTATGTACTTGGGGGGGGGGGGAAATGAGGAATTTTATTTAAAAGTTTGGTGAAATTCTAGCCTAGCACATTTATATCGCAGGCTTTGACTTCTTTTGAAGGTGACATTTTCTGAAGTATTCTGTAAGTGTCTATAACAAATTTACTATTGTAGCACTCATTAGCATAAAGTACCATTTGGGCAAATTCCTTATTTTTTTAGGCAGGCATTTTTTTTACAAAAGTTCACACACTGATGTCAAGGTGCAGCTATAATCTTAAGTTCTGTCACATTCTCAGTCAAGACCATTCTGGGCTCATGTTCAGTCATGAAGGCCCCCCCCCCCCAGTAATGGCAGATCCATTGTGCCAGCTATTGTACAGAATGACTTCTCCATAATGGTTATCCTGAACAATCACTGGCACAATGCTTCTGTCATTACTAGGGGCTCCGTGAGCATGTAAAAATATATCCCAATCGATATCAAGTTGACAAATGAATAATAAGGTCACGTAATCATCTTTCCTTTCAGTCAACAGAGAGCGCTTTGGGGTTGGCAACAGATTTTGCCCCAAAAAATGCATATTAACACCCTCATTATGCAAGAAATAGGCATTTTTATTCAGTCTGTGGTAGCCATTGTTAGTAGTTTTTTATTTTCAACAATCTAATGATGTGTTTGGAAACATTAATGACTGTTCTTAATTTTTGCGACGTTTGGCCTTCCATAGTTTGCAAAAAGTGCCATCCACAAAGACTGGCAAAGAAAGGTCTATAACCATCGGTTTGTCTTTCTTCTTGACAGGTGCGCAGGATGACCTGAATAGGGTTACCAAGATGGCGTACGCCCAGATCCAGTCCTACGGAATGAATGAGAGAGTCGGTCAGGTCTCCTTCCCTGAGAGCAAGTCCGGCGAGCTGGGTACCAGACCGTACAGCCAGAGACTACAATCAATCATTGATGAGGTATTGTAAACGTTGGTCCAGAACCTCAATTTTTAAAAAAAAAATTGTGGGGGGGGGGTGTGGAGGCGATTTACTTTGATGCTAAGGAGCACTCTTTTTTCCCTTATTCTTTTCTGGGTTTTTTTTTACTAAAGTTTCATGAATCTGTGGATGAAAGTGGTATGAGTAGACTACTGCATTGATTTAAAAACAGTTATCTTCACTCCTTCTGTGGTTTAATTATACCTCCACCCTCCCCCCCCCCCCCTAAAACAAAATAAATTGTGTATTGTGCTTGTACTCAGCTCCCATGAAACTGATGGTGATCAATACAAGTTGTTTATGATTCACGCTTTGGCAGATTCTGCAAAATGAGTCTTGAGGACATTTCTCATACTTTCATATGCATTGGAATGAGTATATTCACTTGCTCAGCTTTTCAATTTGCTTAATCACTCACTTTTACATCCTGTTGTATGTGAAATATTGGTGAAAACATGACATATGGAAGATGTAGGGTTTGTAACAGAGAAGTAGCTCATAGGACTTAAGACTTTTTTGTTGGGTTGGGTCACATCGTGAATGAGTAATTCGGACAGAGTGAAATAAGCAGTCAGGATGTCAAAGTGAGGGATATATCAGTTGTCAAAACAGTGTCAACGGAGGCTATAAGTTAGAAACACTTCTTTTGGAAAATTTAACTATTTCCAACTGTTGTTACTTGCAGGAGGCTCGTAAGCTCGTCACCAGTGCATATAGAAGGACAGAGAAACTCCTGTCTGACAACATGGACCAACTGAAAATGGTGAGTCAAAAACTGACTGTTTCCTGACATCATCTCAGAACACGTAACTTACTTGTTTCAACTAATGACAAAATATTCTTGATGAAAGTTTGCCAAAATTGGAAGAAAGTCTCCCCAAAAGTCATAGGCATCTTACACTGAGTGTCAAGAAACTTCGCTATACCGGACAGGCCAGCCTGTTGTCCTTTCATCTGAGTCACTGACCAACCGACCGACTGACTGACAGACTGACTGAGTCATTGTGGAGTGTCATGGCCTAGCGGTTTTACACCGGACACATGCTCTGGTGTTTCAGAGGCAACAGTGGCGTGGGTTCGAGCCCGCCGGGTGGACACTTGTGCCCTTGAGCAAGGCACTTAACCATTATTGCTTCGTCCTTCAGATGGGACGTAAAGCCGTAGGTCCCATGTGTTGTGTAATCCAATGCACGTAAAAGAACCCAGTGACACTTATCGCTATTAAAGAGAAGGGGTTTGCCCCGGTGTTTCTGGTCTCCTGTATAAACTCCCATGTGGAGTATTTAGGAGATGAACCAAACAAGAACAAGAACTGGTATGAATGAAGAGTGAAAATGAGAACTCTGAGCCATCAACATTCGGAGGCGCCTTTAGAAGTTGTGACGTCCTTACGAGTACAGAAATTCGACCAGAGCTGTTGATTGGTCAATAGCTGCCATGTTTTTCTCATACAACATCGAGTTACCGAAGACACGCCAGAAGGCGTTGGCTGAATAGTCAGAATCTGGAGGACAAGACACAGTGTTGTTTTGCAAAATCTGGACGCATATCATAGATGCTTGCTGTGCGTGCAATCATCTATTCTTCCATAGACGTGTTCAAATCCTGCTTGGTTTTTTTTTTTGAAATAATAAGTGAAATAATTTCCCTTTTGTTTTCAAAGCTGTCGCATGAACTACTAAAAACCGAAGTCCTAAACTACGTTGATGTGGAAGCCCTGTTGGGCCCGCCTCCCTTCGGCACCAAGAAGCAGATAAATCTGGACGAGTTTGACGTCCTGGGTGAGGCGGACGACAGCGACAGTGGCAACGACCCGCCTAAAGATCCACGGAACAAGAAGGAAGATGAAGAACCTAATGCATATGCGTAGTTAATTAGCATAATCATTAACATGTTTCATCTGAATATTCATGATATCTGAATATTTAGGATAGTTTGAACCTTAAAGTTGCAATCGCCGTGCGCTTTAATTTCAATTTTTTTTTCTATTAATAAATTTTCAACTTGTGTGTTAGGCCCCCCCAAAAAGTCTCTGGTTTCTGGTATGGAGCTTGCCCAAAAGGTGGTGCGGCGACACGACCTTTTTTTTTTTTTTTTACCTGACTTTTTTGCTTCAAATGTCAGCTGATGACTGCAAATGGTGCCCGACTAAACTTAGTGCAAATATATGGGAGTCCAGAGAGGCCACATAAAGCTTATTGTCGATCATAACCCCATCTAAAAACACGTTAAAATTGTGCAGCAGCAGGATTCCAGTCAAACCAATGAGTTTGGCGGTTTTGAGACATCATCTTTCATTGAAAAAAAAACTTTTTCATTTTGCCGACGGGCATGGCTACGGCGATGCGCGCGCATACCAGAAACCGGAGACTTTTTTTTTGGCCTTATAGTCCCACCCAAAAAAACTCCTTTTTAACTTTTTTGGATGTCTGAGACCCTTTGAAATAAAAGGTGGTTGTTGTAGGCACAAACATATCTACTTTGCGAGCAGACTGGCTCCCGGTCTGTACATTATCGATACTGACTGTGGGTCGGGGACCAGCCTTCCCCGCGACAATGGAATTATTATCTGGCAGCCAATATTGTGAAATTGTTAAGTAATAATTCAATAACTATACAAGGGCCGATTTGTTTTGGGTCGATGTCCCCTTCAAATGTCAAAAGTGAATAATATTTGTATTAATAGAAAAATAGCAATTCAGAAGAGGTCTCTATTTTTTTGGATGAAACTCGAAAATAGCACAGGGAACGTAACTCTAATAAATAACTTTAATGTGGGTGCTTCTTGTTGTTCAAAGCTTTGTGATGTCACACAAAGGAAAAGTAGAATGTAATGCGTGCATAAAAAAAAATCCTTTCCGATTTTTATTTATTTATTTTTTTGTGCTGGAAATTCACAAAATATACTCTCTATTCATTGGCATCAATCCGAAATTCTGAACACACAATGCGACACTCTCTATTCAACTAATCCGCCCTGACATCCACTGAACCATGCATGATTGACATACCAGCGCTAAAGTAATTTATGCTAATTTGCCCCGGTACTCAACCGAATAAATCAACATTTTAAATACCTGATTAAGGTGTTAGAGCAGGGAAAAGGGTTTACTCATTGTCTGTTTCAATCCAGTTGGTCAAGTATTTAGAGTAGAATAGGACAGATGATGCAGTTAATAAGGCTGTTGTTCGAGAGGCAGGTTATGAAGTTGTTGGTCTCTTTCTTTGGGAGAGATTAAAAGACGGTGATTTGATGGAAGTTTATTGTCTGGCGTGATAACATTGGGCCCGGCCACTGAGGTTTGTCTTTATTCCCACTTAGGCTCATTTATAGTATTTAACGGTGCCAGGGTGTAACAGCCGGGGGGGGGGGGGGGGGGGGGGGGGGGCCTCGGGGGGCTTGAACCCGCTCCCCCCAAGAGGGTTTTTTTTGGGGGTATTTTTTTTTTTTAGTTCCACGATTTGGCCTTGGTGATGAATGTGGCCTATTTTTGAGTAGTATAATAGGGGTGTAAATGGCGCCACCAACGTCAATATAGGCCGTCCCTCAAAAAAAAAAAAGAATTTCTGCGGCCAAAAACTTTTAACAAATTTGTAAAAAAAAAAAAAATTTTTTAAGCCCCTCCCCCCAAAACCAAATCCTGGGTGCGCCACTGCGGAGCCAGGGTGTAACAGTGTAACATTCACTGAAAAGAACAACATAGAAAAGGGCGCCCCCTATGGTTGAATGAGGCCCCCCCCCCCCACCACCACTTTTCGAATTTGCAACAGCCTGCCAGCACCGACAGTGCTTGCCCCCCCCCCCCACTTTCAAAACTGTTCCGCTGCCACTGTAATTATGAAGTTGCACATTAACTTGATTATATTTTTTTTGTTGACATGTTTCATGCGGCCTTGCTTTGATTTCTATTTTCACATTTTTAAGAATCTTGTGTTTTCAATCATATAAAAGTCCGTTTCGAATATCCAATAAAGACCTGAATGAATACAAATGACTCCACTTCATTCTTTCTTTGGAACGTGTAGTTGGTGATTTCAATTTTTATTTATTTATTTATTTATTTATTTATTTATTATTTATTTATTTATTTATTATTTATGTATTTTTTTTTTTTTTTTTTTAGACAGTTTCAAGTAGTTTTCATTTCCAAACTGGGCATATTATTACTGAAGATGCACGAATGCAAAAGTGTTCAATTTTCAAAATGCAGACACATCGTGCGAAATTGTCATTTTACACAAATTTAAAACGTCTTAACCCGTGACAATGATACAGTAATGACTATAAATAGACATTGTATATGACGCATGCACTTTTTATTGAAACTTTTTTAACACTTGAACAATAAAACGGCTCAAAAGGAGCCCACGCATTGCTGCCATATAAGGAATATGGTGTATAGACAGGCTTTTACTTCCGGGTCATATCGATGGGAGTTTGACCTCTGTCAACAACATACATACACACGACGACTGCACTCGCGAGACGAAAAATCCACAACTTGCCCGCGTCGAAAATCTTACTTTTGGACGAAGCATTTACCATGTAATTGACACTGAACATTACCTGTCAAGATTGAGGATCCCTTTGTAATGTTTGTGTTATTCTGTCGGATGTAACGGTTACACTTACAGAAATGTGAGTAATTTTTTGCTTAGTTTAATTTGACAAAAATCAAGTCGGGGTTTCTGTTGGTTGTGCTGTACGAGCAGTACGTGTGTAATGTAAGCACATGCGCTATGCACAAATGAATGAGTGATGAGTTGTCGTACAAATCAGATCTGCCACTAAACCTGTGTTCCTGTAAATTTTTAACTGAGTGGCTTTCCCATCATCGCCATTTGAATGTACCATTGTCATGATTGTATTCATAACTGTACTCCTAGAACTATGAGGCTCCGCGTGAGCGGAGCACGCGGAGCCTCATAGTTCTACTTCTACTTCTAGGACTTTGTAGGAGTATTCATAACTGCACTTTTAAATTAAAAAGGAGAAAACAGAAAAGGGAAAGAATGTACGAAAAACATGTTGCAAGCAACCTGACGCCACTTCCTCGATTGTGTACAAAGTCTATGGAGAGTCAACAAAATTGGAAATGTTTCTCAATCCCAGATTCATGCCTCATCATCTTTTAGCAATGAATGACCTTCATTGAGGATTTGAGATACATGAAGAAAAAAGCAGCGTCAGGTTGCAACATTCTTTCCAAAGTGACAAAGGAAAGCCCATTTGTTGGTGTGCTTTTCTTTTTAATTCTCTCTATGTCTTTCAATCATAGGATGTATCCTCATTTACAGCAAGTTACATTAAGTACCGGTATTTGGGAAAACCTTCAACACAGATTTAAAATCAAGAATGATATCAAATTTTGTTTGAATGTACTTTTAGAATATTCCTATACAGTGTAGGCCTATAGTCGTGTTCCCTAACGTGGCGCACTTCAAAGCTTACCCGACTTTCCTCGTGTAGTGTTGCCAAACCTCTTCGTTGACAAACCTCAAATTCATGCAGTAAAATGCTGGTACTTTTACTTTGTTAATGCTTGCTATTTAACCTCTGAAAACAGTTTTGGTTTCATAAAATTTTATCCGAAATTCAAAAACGGTGGTGTCCGGAAATTGGGCACAAATTGGCAGAGTGTTCCCTAACGTGGCGTACTTAAATAAATCTCCGAAAATTCCAAATTAACATTTATGAATTGCTGTAAACTTGATAAATTCTGATAAATCATTATTATCTTTAATCACATACCCAGCCAGATGTTTGTCAGAAAATAATTTTCTTATTTTTCGGGGCATTTTCAAAGGGTTCACTTTGCACTTGAAAATAAAATTGGACAATCACGCCAAAATAAATTTTTCTTCTAACTTTGTAACGGGTAAATAAACTCGCGATTTATGAACGGGAGTGTTTTAGAACTTAATGAAATTTCACTTTCTGTGAAATTTCAATTAAAACTTTTGCAAAAGCTAGGCGTTACAGGCGAAAAATCAAAGTGCGCCATTCTGGGGGCCGCGCCACGTTAGGGTACATCAACAATATATGAGAAAGCCTCTGTGATAATGATTTTTTATGCCCCGCGGCGAAGCCGAAGGGGCATACTGTTTCCGCCTTGTCCTTCCGTGGGTGGGTGGTGGGTGGGTGGGTGTGTGGGTGTGTGTGTGGGTGGGTGAGCTTGTCTTACATACGCAGTGTGGACTTCCGAACAAAAGACGTCCACATAATGTAGGTAGCACCGACGTTGTGTGGACTTGCCCACGTCCACACAGTGTTTCCCCATTTCTGGAAAACAGGTTTAGAGGCATTTTTGGGTTAGGTTTATCTGTAGCAGAATGAAGAGAAACACTAAAGGGAATCATAGAAAAAAAATTGGGTTGAAAGAGTTTTCACAGTTTGAGAAAAATGAGTTTTTTCACTGGTTTTTCTTAACTACACGAAAGCAATTGAAAGTCCACACTAGTCATGTGAAACAAGTATGGGTGGGTGTGTGGGTGTGTGTGTCCGGATAAATCGTGTCAGCGCGATAACTTGAGAAATACTTAACATATGAACTTCAAATTTGGTTTGTGGATTGTTCTTGGTAATCCTAAGAAGCCTTTTGCATTTGGGGCCAAAAGGCCAAAGGTCAAGTTCACAGTGGCTAAAACAATAGAAATCTTGTCAGCGCGATAACTTGAGAAATACTTAACATATGAACTTCAAATTTGGTTTGTGGATTGTTCTTGGTAATCCTAAGAAGCCTTTTGCATTTGGGGCCAAAAGGCCAAAGGTCAAGTTCACAGTGGTTAAAACAATAGAAATCTTGTCAGCGCGATAACTTGAGAAATACTTTACATGTGAACTTCAAATTTGGTTTGTGGATTGTTTTTGGCAATCCTAAGAAGCCTTTTGCATTTGGGGCCAAAAGGCCAAAGGTCAAGTTCACAGTGGCTAAAACAATAGAAATCTTGTCAGCGCGATAACTTGAGAAATACTTTACATGTGAACTTCAAATTTGGTTTGTGGATTGTTCTTGGCAATCCTAAGAAGCCTATTGCATTTGGGGCCAAAAGGTCAAGGGTCAAGTTCACAGTGGCTAACACAATAAAAATCTTGTCAGCGCGATAACTTGAGAAATACTTTACATGTGAACTTCAAATTTGGTTTGTGGATTGTTCTTGGTAATCCTAAGAAGCCTATTGAATTTGGGGCCAAAAGGTCAAGGGTCAAGTTCACAGTGGCTAACACAATAAAAATCTTGTCAGCGCGATAACTTGAGAAATACTTTACATGTGAACTTCAAGTTTGGTTTGTGGATTGTTCTTGGTAATCCTAAGAAGCCTATTGAATTTGGGGCCAAAAGGTCAAGGGTCAAGTTCACAGTGGCTAAAACAATAGAAATCATGTATTTATTCTGAGATTATAGGGATTAGGGATTTATTCATATAAAACCTACAGAAGACACTAATGCTGTCAATGAATGTTCCGTGTGACCAAGGTACATGTAAGTTGATGTTAAAAGAGTGGTGTTATGTCATGGGAACTGTCATCGTTGCGGGGCATTTGTGTTTGTAAACACACCTGACTTGTTTTAAACTAGCGTCCGCCAAATATCCACTGCCATATTCCTAACACCCCTATATAGACTTAATGTAAGCGACCTTTTAGTTTTACATACATGTTGCATCTGAATACATATTCCCCTTTTTTCCCTCATACATTGTCCCCTTTTTCAGTAGTTAACCTTTCCAGTGGTTTACCTTTATTACCAAAGGGTCTTATATTATTTACATTGTCAAATCAAAGTTGTATGAGTAAAAATGACAACATGACAAAGTGAGAATAATTAAACAAAGATTACTAGAGGCTCGGTTTCCAGACGTCATGTTTAAATAATTTTGTAAAATGTCGTGATTTGCAACACAAGCGCGTCTGACGGTGAAGCAGCATTGTCTCATGGGGAGTTCTATAATGGACGGAAACCATATTCTTGTGTAAATATCCCTCAGTCATACTTACATGTAGTTCGGTTTTGACGAATGGAGGGTGTGAGTTTGAATCACGTAGAACCGCCTAGGGGAACTGCCTAATTTTTCCCGCCTAAGTACATGTATTTCATCACGTTGAGATAATCAGGTCTTGAATTATTGTGTTCTTTCTCACAGATAATTTAACTTGACCATCCCCGCCCCTCTCAAAATGCAATGTACACGTTTGCTTGACCTAGAAATTATGAGAAACAGGTCTAAAAGCCTCTTTCAGTCATAGGATGTATCCTCATTTAGGCCTACAGCAAGTCACATTAATTACCGGTATTTGGGAAAACCTTAACACAGATTCAAAATCAAGAATGATATCAGATTTTGTTTGAATGTACTTTTAGAATACGCAGTGGCTATCGTTACGGCAGCCATAATGCATTTCCCATTTTCTATCGTTACGGTAGACTGCAACTTTTATAAAAACATGAGAGGAAAATATAAAATTAGAAGGAAAAAAGTGAATTTGAATGTTATGAAATTCGGACTTTATTGCATCATATTGAGATAATCAGGTCTTGAATTATTGTGTTCTTTTTCACAAATAATTGAACTTGACCATCCCCGCCCCTCTCCAAATGCAATGTACACGTTTGCTTGACCTAGAAATTATGAGAATCACAGGTCTAAAAGCTTTGGAATGAAATTAAGTTCATTTAACTCAAAGTCAGTAAAGTCCACTAGAGCATTCCACAAGCAAACATTGCTATGCACTTAAATCACGGTCTTATTTTTTGCACTTGACAAAATTGAACACCAACCAACATCGCATATCGAGTCCAGTCCATACTCATCACGAACTTGAATGCGAATGCAATTTTGTGACATCATGGTGAGCATTTGCGCTGTGAATTCGAAAGAGTTGAACACAATTTCGGTGAACTTAGTTGCTCAGGGAATGTTTCCTGATATCCAATTTGCTTCTCATGAACTGGCCTTAAACCACACAGGAAACTCGGTCCCAAGGTCCTAAAATCCATTGAAATCCAGAAAAACCACACGCCATGTAGTTTCCCATATTATTCGCTCTGATTAATACGGTTGTAAAAAATGTGTGACACAAGATTTCAAGATTCCCTCACGCCAATTTGAAATCAGTGACTGTGAAATTAGACTGTCAACTTCATCTGTCTTAAGTGCAGTGATCACCATCTCATTAAGGAAATGAACTACCACACACACCACTCTCAGATCCAGAGGGGGGGGGGGGGGGGCAGGGGGGTTCAACCCCCCCCCCCCCCCCCCACTGACTTCTTTGAAAGATATTGTTTCACTAACTACAATGTATTTCCATAAATGCTTAGAGAGGTACGACATGAAAAAGAGAAAACCTACTTTAAATTCCAAAACCATAACAATGTGCCGTGAACATCGGTATATATTTTCCAGTATGCATAACAATGGTCAGTTTTGAAGAGCGCACCCATTCGGGAGATCAGAGAGATTCCTAAAAACGAAATCGTTATTAGGATGAAGTGAAACCATTCTTTCTGTTATTTTGGGGATTATGAAACCTCTACTTCATACTCGGATATTACTCATAGTGCAGTGCATGGAACATTCGAAATATATACATGTACCATGTATGTATCACTCTCTCTATAAATTGCCGTAATGACTTACAGTACATGTAGACGGGAAATTGCCACTTTTTTTTTTTTTTCCTTTTTGGTTTTTTAAGATCTTTCTGTTATTCTGTGGATTATGAGACCTCTACTTCATACTCTGATATTACTCATAGTGCAGTGCATGGAACATTCTAAATATCTCTCTCTCTCTCTCTATAAATTGCCTTAATGACTTAGACAGGAAATTGCCTCTTTATTTATTTTGGGTTTTTTTTAGATTATGGTCATAAATTTATAGCATCTACCGAAATTAACTTCCTTTTATACTCATCGGCAACAGACGGTCACTTTCAATAGTTTTTGCAACTTGAAAAAGATAAACTTATAAAAAATAATCATTGTAATGTGTTCTGCACTTTTGGCAGATTAAAATGAGAATTTATATTACCTCATTTGAAGGGATTTTCTCATTTTCAGTACTGTTTAGCATTTCATCGAGCATTCATGTGTATTTTCCGTGGACTGCAGAATTGCATGATTGGAGACGGGAAAAGTAAACAGGTTTTTACTGCTCGCCGAAGACTGGACTGACTGCTAATTTGAGAGAGAGCTCAGACATCAGTCTGTTTGTCTGCAGGGCGACGTCTCACCCTATAAAGGTAAATCCTTCAGCGAATGTTTTTATCGGCAAAGTGTTTTCCACCCTTCAATGTTACAAGTTACTTTTGCTTAGAAATTGTTAGAAATTAACATTATATGAGGCAAAAACACTATCTGTTTCTCTAACGTGCATTGTTCTAGGTGGCCTTAGCCCCCCCAAAAAAACTTTTGTTTAGCCCCGCTCCCCCCCCCCCCCCCCCCCCCCCCGAAAAAAAAATGTTAGAAGGTGAATCACGTGTGAAATATTCGCTACAGCCGGTCAGGCGCGGATCCAGAGGGGTGGTTTTTGTGTCAAACATCCCCCCCCCCCCCTGTTGAAAACTGTTGAAAATTGTATTGATAATAACGTACATGTCCGCCTGAGGCTTAGCCATTCGTTAGAAGGTGACATTTGTACACTATTAGGTATGTACATGTAGTGCGCATGATAATAGGATTTTATCAGTGCTCCCCATTGAAAATATGGTACCGGTAGGACCTCCCCCCCCCCCCCCCCCCTTAATTGATTTCCAGAAGCAAAGTGTGCGGACAAAAAAAACCTGTCTACATTTCAGCACGCCTCCCTGCAAACATTTCTGGATTCACCCCTGATAGCCCCCTAAAATACACATGTACCGGTAGGCTCTAGAACCGCGCCTGTTCTCTAATAAAAGATTTTCAAAGTTCTAGCATTTAACAAACTTCTTTCCTCTTTTGCAAAAACGTCCACCTACATGTACTAGGGCCAAATTACTTTCTTACCTACAACATAGGCCTGCTTATGTAGCTGCTGCTTAGTGCATTTTTCTGCAATATTAATTGTCCAAATTTTAGCTTTGTCTAAATTTAAGATTCTCTCTTGACCAACTGATCAGTCATTAAAATTAGGCTGTATTTTCAAATTGAATTTGAGAGTTCCAAGTGAAATCCACATTTTATTATGACCTTTGCTGAAATGTTTGAAGAAAAAAAAATTGGTTTGGGATGGAATAAAACAACTTTCAATTCCAAGCCTTGACAATAAAATGGCACGGTTAATGAAACTGAAAGGAGCTGTATTGTGCATGCACATGAACTGCAGAGCGCATTCTTTTTTGAGTCAGCATGAAATATTTGTTAGGGAAACATACATGAATTGAAAGTGAAAACTGTGAGAAAAAAATACAGACACACAGCTTTGTGTGGTTCCCAACTTGTCAATAAAATAACTACATGTTGAGTACCTGGGAACAGTATTATAAATGTGTACAGTGTATCTAGATGCATTTACAATTGTCAAGTACGAAATGCACATGGTTCATTTCTTAAACCTTCCCAAATCCTCCAAAATACTCTTTGCAAAATGGAGGATTTTGCAGGATTGAGGCTTTGGCAAAAGTGTGTGGCTGATTTCAGCAGATGTACCGTGCCAATTAAGGTCTTAGGCCGGCCGGAGTTGTATTGTTTATGCTCAGCCGTGCATAAATTTAGGCATAATGTATACTATACTTGAAATCCTGCGCACTGCTCCAGGATGTCACTGGCTCTGCCTCAACATATTTGACAGTGATTGCCGGAGGATTTTGCAGGGCTGAGGCAGTGGTCACCCCTCCAAGGACCACACTCAAGAAATAACTAAGGATTTCGGAGGATTGAGGCTGTAGGCTATTTTCACATGGAGGCGGTAGGCTATTTTCACATGGAGGCAGTTGGAGGATTTTGCAGGATTGAGGTTACATCCTAGCAAAAATGCCTAGGGAGTTTGGGTTAACAGAGAAGTAGATTGAGATTAACCCAAAAAGTTGAATGATTTTTTGTTTTCCTATTTTGTTTTGCAGTGAATGAAAGATGTGAATCGTTTCGCGCAAGTGACAACCGACAAGATGACAGCAAGAAAGCCGAATAAATAATCCGCCGGATTGAACGTTTCTGATTTAGTAATACCTGATGCCCATTATGAAGGCCGGGGAGGGGCCAGCCAGCCGCTCCCATTTCCACCGCAGCTTCCCCAACAGCTTCCACGCCCAGACCGAGGACGTCCGGACCCAAAGCGAGGACGTCCTGGCGGCCATGAACGCGCTGTGCCGGTCAAGCGCACTCCTGGCTGAAACCTTCATGGGCGTGTTTCAGGACACGCCCTTTATGGAGCTGGCGTTGCGGCTGAAGCAGGTCTCGCAGGACCTGGCCGCCAGGACGCTGAATGCCAGCGAGCATATCCAGGAGGACGGTATCGCCATGGTAGCCAGGCTCATTGGGCGGGGCACCAAAGAGAAAACAGACGAAGGAGTTCAGGTACAATCCATGTCATATTTCCTTTTTTTTTCCCCCTCACTATATCAGCAGATTGTAGGGTTTTAGGTAAATTGTGTGTTTGTCTGTTTTGTGTTTTTAGGGGATGAGGTCGATTTTTTTGGGGGGGGGATGTCTTTGTTCATGAACAAAGAATTGCTCATTTTTATCAATTGTCAACAAAACTGAGCGCTTTTTTTTTTTTTTATAGAGTCTCCCTTGTCATACTCCTTGGTGTTCATCCCCTGTTTCATGAGAAAATAACTTTCTAGTATAAAATTATGTTTGAAGGTGTTCGAAATGTTTTAAGGCTGAAAAAATGTTTACAGCTATATTTTGGGGTCATTTTTAACCCGCCCCCCTTTTTTCCCCAAAAAATGCAGATTTTCCCTTTATGCAATACAATGTAGATGCTTTGGTAATAATGTATGTGTCAATGATTCTTTGGTGTTTTTTTTTAAATATGTGATCAATATGTGAAATTAGTTTGAAAGATGTCATTTTCTTCTTGTGAACAAAAAAGCTGACAAAAACTGTCCAAAAAAAAAACATGTTTACATACACGCTACAGCTTCAATTCAGTCTACAAAATTTTATGTAATATATTTGCTCATGAATAGCAAATGGAACAGCTCCGTCAAAAAGTATCCAGTTTCAAAAACAGGTTGCCTGAGGGATACCTGACACCCATCGGACTGAACATTCTCTCTGTCTGTGATGTAATGTATGCACATACAGTATGTACGTATTCATAGGGTTCCTTGAACGACTTTCAGGGTGTTTTGGGGCCAGACTGTTCCTGACATTGTGACCCAGCTCATCACAGGATATCAAATTATAAGCTATTGTTTTAACAAAGTAGGTTCACCCAGGGTTCAAGTTTCAGTCAGGGACAGATATTATCTGTGTGAATATGTGATCTGATACACCGTGTCCTCTGGAGACAAGCACACAATAGGGAACAAAAGATTGTATACGTCTCCACAGAGCAATTTCTATAGATGAATACGTCTCCACAAGATTTTCACGAAATAGATATATGGATTTTACTAAAAATTAGGAGTTCCATGGTGGGTTGATCTGTCGCAAATGGAAGAGTTTTAGAAAAGGGATATTAAATCCGAATTTCAGCCCAGGAAATTAATTCTGGTTAAAATAAGAGCATTTTGAAACTACACTTTCAAACTTTCGAAAACTTTACTACACGAGAACAAACAAATGTCTCCATAAGAATACAAATTTCAGTGTGTGTGTACACAGAGTAGATCCCTGTGTGGGTTTTAAAGATATCATATTTGATGTATTTGTACAAGATTTGCTTATAGGCCTAATGGATGGAAACAGAGCAATTTATAGACGTCTGGGAAATGTCAGGTCGGGGAACCAGACTGGCTGGCTTGCACCTATTCACGGATGTGAAACCGATCGCAAACGAAATGTGGACTAACTAAATTTGATAAATTGGGGGTAGTATTTTTTTTAAGTCAGTTTTTTCCAATGATGGTCAGCCGACCATCGTTGGAAATTTATACAAAAATTTCACTTTTCTTTAATTAAAATGACAGCACACCAGGTGCCGTGGTTTCACAGGATGCTTGAGACTATTATTCACTTGCAGTCAAGTGAGGCATTTCATAATAATTGAGAAGTTTTGTGTTTTGATGTTTGCAAATATTGTATATTACCTTTAAGTGGGAGCCACCATCAGTAAAAAGGGGAAGTACTCGGGCCCCAGTTTTGGAAATGCTAAGCCAAAAAATGTTGCATTATATGAAGCAAATTCACATGCTAAGCAAAATTCATCAGAGAACCAGTCACAATCAATATGCATCACATGACATTCTGGCTGGTAACAAAGTCTTTTGCTAAGCAATTTTTTTATGCTCAGCCATATTCTGTGCCTAAGCAGCTTCTTGAAAGTGGGCCAGGATTTTATGTCTGCTGGTTCTAGCATGGAGGTGTTTCCTACATGTACCTCCATGGTTCTAGATTGACGGATTGTTGTGATGTAGACATACATGGACTGTAGATTTTTGTTCAGAATTTTGACCCGAATGACACAGTCAACCACTGTTGTGAGGCACTTGTACAAAACATGTACAAATGTACATTGTACAACTGTACATGTATGCAATTGTTTCCTATGAGTATGATGCATTCTTAGTCCAAGTTTTTTTTTAACTCCAATCCATGTTGTCCTATCTACAGCTACATGTACAATGTACGTAGATCTCTAGTATTGCACTGTCACCCACAAATCAGAAACAACTTTTGTCTAATTTGGGAGGGGATTGTTTCTTATCATTTAAGATTAGTGATACCCCAAACTCCTGTTAATATAAATTTGAAGATACTTAAAGCCAGAGTCCATCATTTGCAGCTATCCAAAAAGTAACTGGCGTAATTATTGTTGAAAAACATTCTTCGTTGAAAGATAGTAAGGGGTCTAAACTCCCTGTGAAATTATTCTTTCTGGCAAGTATTTTGAAGAAATCAACAAAAGAAGGCTTTCCAACGGTGCTTCTTAAGCTTGTTATTCGGCGAAGCACGCGCAAGCATTGGCACGACGCACACGCACGCGCGGTTGCTGTAATTTGTCGGATGAGCGCGCGACATCGCGTAGCTGCAATCGGCTCAGTGAGAACGTGTCTCGGACGCTGAATTCAGGCCTAATTCAAAACATGATTCAGCAACTTTTGGATTTGAATCGAGATCCTAGAATGTTGTTTTTCTCAAAATTTACAGCTAAAGCTGAGCTGAAACTTCATCAGGTTAGTTGTTCAGCACCCTTCTTTATCTTGAGCACTTTTGTTGCTTCAGACGAACAAAATGTACAAATTACAAATGATGGACTATACATTGTACCTTTAACGAAGTGAGTTTGTGAAGTGGGAAGTACCAACTTTCATAAATTGAAGTTTTGCATGTAATGCACACAGAGACTGAAATGAAACTTTGTTTTAGTAATTCTTTATAAACAGTAAATGAAAATAAGGAAATTAGGTTTGGAAACAGATCACTCTACAGTACATGTATTGCACATTGTCTACCCTGTTCGTGGCATTCGCGGTCCGGTCGCTTATATCGCCCTATCGCGCGAGTATCACGTTTCGAAAACACAATTAAAAACATCCACAACGACTCAGTTTGTGCGATCGTGTATTTATTATCACCGAAAGCATTATAAAGTTTGATCAAAATTTTAACAGGTAGGTTTAATACTGAATTTTTCACTAGCCCACCGGGCAACCAAGGAACAAAGTTTAGGTAGCCCGGGGCATTTTTCGTTAGAATTTGTACGCCGGGCACTGCATTCAGAAAGCAAACCTGTATCATTTTTGTCAAATTTTGGTGAATTTATTAGATCTGTTTATTAAAAACACTGACAAGATTGTGTCATGTAGGCACATTGTTGTTTATGAGACAATCTATAACATAAAAACATGGGGATGGTTTCAGTAGCCCGGTTGGCTAGTGAAAGAAAAAGTTAAAGTCGACCCTGCATATGTATGCCCTGCGGTTGCGATACACATAACCAGCTATCTCACGATATCGCTGGGAAAGTAGGGATTTGGTTTTGTTTTTGTTTTCAATTTTGCGTGAGATTTTTCCCCGGGCCCGAGCATCATCATTAATCTGCCCCTGCAAAAGCCACCTCCTCTAACCCCATAATGCTAGTGGGCGGGTCGGGAATTTTTCTTCGAGCCTCGGAGAAAACAGACTGCGCAACACTGCTAGGACGGGCCAGTATATAATGTCTGTACAGCCGTGAGGCCTAATGGGATTGAAGGATCCGTAGATTGGGTCAGTGAATGGCCATCACAACGCATATCAATGCAAGTGTGTGATTTTCCCCTGGAAAAGACTGGCTCAACCGCATTGGGCCAAATTATAATTAATGGTTGTTTCCTGTCTCTGCCTGCGCCTAATTTATTTGATAAAGGTCTAACTTCTTAGTTTGGGTCGGTGAATAAGCATCGCAACCCATATCAACCATGAGCAATTTTCCCCCTGGAAAAAATACAGGCTCAACAGCAGGGGGCCAATTTATAATTAAGTGTTGTTTCCCGTCCCTGGCTGCCTACTTGTAATTTGTATAAAAGTCCTAATTCTCAGTTTGAATTATACATGAATAAGCCATCACAATTCATACTATGGTCCAGTGGTTACGGTGTTTGACTCACGATGGTACGTGGGTTCGAACCCTACCAGGAACATGGTGTTTGTGCCCTTTGGCAAGACACTTCACTACAATTGCTTCTCTCCACCCAGGAGTATGAATGGGTACCTGTGAGGGTAGAGGACCGAATGTGCGCTGATATGGGCTGCCGCTTGGTCTCGTGGCCTGATGAACGGGGGAATAATTGTAAAGCGCTCTGAGATTGTTGATACGATGGAAAGCGCTATAAGCATTTCAATTTATATTTTTGTTTAGAACCCAAGTGTTTGATTTTTCCCTTCAAAGCAGGCTTAAAGGGGCATATTACAGCTGAAAATCCCTGAAAATTTCATGTTTTGGATTGTTTACTTAAATCCTATTTCAAAGGTCTGGTTGAAAGGAAACTTTAACCTCATGTGGCACTGTTCCTGAAAAAAGACGACAAATCCTGGTTGTTTACTTCTGATGCGGTGGACATTTTGTGGCATACACATATTTCCAGCTGTGTCCATTCAATGTCATGGTACTCGTGTGTGTGACACGTAATACACACAGCACCAAAACACAAATGTTGTTTCTTGCACGTCCGCAGAATGCGATGCACTGGTGGAACGTGTGCGGTAGGAATCACGACTACGTGTAGCATTGAACAGCTCGATTTTGGAGAGTGAAAATTTTGACCCCTGAAATTCGTTCTCGCAAGAATAACACAAAAACGCCCAGTTTTTTAAGGATGGTTGTGTGGACGTTTGTTAATTGGCTCTTTTCAATTAACATCATTTCATTTAAAACGGGTTTCGTAGCCCAATTTGGCGCATTCCAATGTTGCAAAATTTTCCCTTTA